TGATATCAGAGAGAGTACTTGTGTCTTTGTTGTTCTGCGGACAAACGGACAAACGGGCCAATGAACAAATCCAACCAATAACATAAAGTTCTTTGAGTACAATTGCCCTGAGATGACAAATCATAGCCCAATATCAAGCCACTTAAAATGGTAAACTTGATTCAGATTTGAATAAATAGGTAGAATCATGTAGTGTATAACACTATAGCAAATGGATATTTCTTAAATACTTACAAAGCTGTTTTGGAGACTTTAACCACCGGCAACATTCCCAAAAGAACTTTCTCTGATTTCAGGTATCTTTTCAGATCAAACACATCAAACTTCTCATCTGATGTGAGCAGCACAAAGGTCAGAGCTGACCATTGGCAGGTGGAGAACTCTTCAAACGTGACTGTCTCTGACTGCAGGTACGTTTTCACTTCCTCTACAAGAGAGTGGTCATTCAGCTCATTCAGACAGTGGAACAGATTGAGATTCTTATCAGCATCACTATTATCTTCCCTGATCTTTTCTTTTATGTACCCAATGGTTTCCTTGATGATGTTGTCATTATGTTCTGTTTTCTTCAGCAGTTCCTCCAGTGGATTCTGATTTGTCTCCAGAGAAAGGCCTAACAGGAAACGGAGGAACAAATCCCATTCTCCAGTTTTGCTTTCTAAAGCCTTGTTCACTGCCGTCTTGTAGAAGTCAGCAGGTGAGTCTCCACCACCCGCAAGCAGATTTTCTCCTATTTTTTGGAATATTAGAAAGACATGAAAAGCTGCCAGGAACTCTTGAACGCTCAGATGGACAAAGCAAAACAATTTCTGTGGGTAAAGCCCTGAGGATTCTCGTGTGACCTGTGTGAATAATCCTGAGAAGATGGCAGTTTTTTCAATGTCAACTCCGCAGTCTGTCAAGTTCTCTTCAGTGTAGAGAAGGTTTCCTTCTTGGAGCCCATCAAAAGCCAATTTCCCCAGAGACATGATTGTTTCCTTGTTTGTTGTATTCCAGCAGGAATTTGTGTCAGAAGTCTCAACTGTCACATCTTCTCCGTACTTCACATTCGCCTGTCTGCACTGTAACATTATAAAGTAAATGTACATGTCAGTCATAGTCTTGGGCATCCTTCCTTCTTTCTTTCTGATAACAAAGTCCTCCAGAACCTTTGCCGTGATGTAGCAGAAGACAGGGACGTGACACATGATGTAAAGGCTCCGACATTGTTTGAGATGTGACAAGATTTTCTCAGCCAACTCTTCATCACTAAATCTCTTCCTGAAGTACTCCTCCTTTTGCTCATTATTGAATCCTCGTACCTCTGTAACCCGGTCCACTTTATCAGCAGGGATGTGGTTGGATGCTGCAGGTCGGGAAGTGATCCAGATTTGAGCGTTTGAAAGCAGATTTCCTTGGATGAGGTTTGTCAGCAGAACATTGACTGAGGTTGGCTCTCTCATTTCCGTCCAATCTGTGCTTTTATTGAAGTTAAGATCCAGGCGACATTCATCAAGACCATCCAGGACAACCAGGATTCTGTACCGGTCATAGTCCTTTATTTCTGATGCCTTCATACATGGGAAAAACTGATGAAGGAGTTCCTCCAAACTGAGTTCTTGCTCTTTTCTCAAATTTAGTTCCCGAAAGGAGAGCGGAAACATATAGAACATGTCCCCGTTGGCTTTGTCTTCGGCCCAGTCCAGCATGTACTTCTTTGTGGCAAACGTCTTTCCGATGCCGGCCACTCCCACCGTCAGCACAGTTCTAATGGGTATATTTAATCCAGGAGACGGTTTGAAGATGTCATGATATTTAATCATTATTTCTTCTCCCTCTGGTTTGAACTTTGCATCTTGAACTTGTCGGATCTCATGCTGAGCATTGACCTCTCCCCTCTGTCCCTCGATAATGTAGAGGTCTGTGTAGATCTCATTCAGGAGAGCAGATGGTTTCTGCATATCGGTCCCCTCAGGTACATGGGAAAATTGCTCCTTCAGCTGAGATTTGAGCATCTTTTGACTCGCAATATCCGGCTTCCCTGTAGGGTGAAAATTAGACAATAGTTGTGATAATGCATCACCTCAATCATAGTGCAGTTCATCAATTTCAAACCAAAGCATCAAGAAGTGAAAATGAAGCAGAGCTTAAATCTTGTATATATTTGTGTAAGAAGATACTGAATATGAATATTAGTCATGACACTGTAGTTGGTTTGAGTGTAAATCTTATTTTTCCTCTTATCCTGCAGGTTGGATTTCACAGTTTATTTTAGACACATTGTAAATTAGCTTTCTTAATTCCTTTAAGTACAATCACGCAGTTGATTGGCAGCCACTAAATGAATATATAAAACCATGTGCTTAAAAACTAGTCATGTCCCAATTGGTGCTCATACAGACATATTTTAATGGATGTTATCAGCTAAAATAAAGTGGACCAAGTTCTAATCCTTTCTTTACTGTTCTGTTCCAGCGCTGCCCTACCGCTTGGATCCAGATGTTTGGTAAAAATAAGGTGAGCCAGAGAAGATTCAACAGTCTGTAGCTGGTATTTCACTGGTTCAGAAACATATTTAGTCAACAGGAAATATTAGTATCGGACTCTGTATCAGCAGATACAGGTTTTCCTTTCATAGCAGTTTTGATCTAAAACAAGAATGCTTGAATTTGAATTAAACACTTATCACATGCTTGGATTTGATAGCACACATATTTATAGTACTTTAAACAATCCATAAGCTTACATCGTATTTGTGTCATCCTGTCGACACATGCGTCAGGCAACTTCAGTGGGCAGGTTATCCAGATTCTGGCAGAAGGAAGCAGGGTTCCTCTGATGAGGTTTGTCAGTATCACATCCACTGAAGCTGGTTCTCTGACGTCAGTCACGGTGTCGTTAATGTCAAAGTCAAGAGGACGTTGGTTAGCATCCAAACCACGCAAGACAAATAACACTGGGAACTGGTCAGAGGTAGAGACCACAGAACTCTTAGTTTCATTGAAGAAACGATTAACAAGTCCCATCAAACTGACTTTCTCCTTGAAATTCAGCGTCAAGAGGTTAAGTTGAATTATGATGTGATCCCCTAAAGGTGACTTGTCATTTTTAGCCCACTCTCTTAAGAATTTCTGCACATAGAAGGATTTTTGTATTCCAGCTTCTTTGGTGGTCAGCACAGTTCTGATTTTTTTCCCTTTTGTTTCTTTAAAGATGTCCCATCCTGCATTGACTCGTGTCACATTGTTCTCTTCACTGTCGACCTCACCACTTCGATCGTTTCTCATAACATGCTCAATGTTTTTCTGGTCAGAATGATTTATGTCTTCTTCTTGAGGGTTTTCTCTGAGAATTCTTGCTCGGAGGGCTGAGGTCAGCTTCTGCCATCGTTTTGTCTCTGAATAAATAAAACGTTATGGATGATGAAGGACATTAAGGTGGATGGTTTTGAACACAGTCAGCAAAGATTATTCATTGCATAACACCAAAACAATATTTTAAAGTAAACAATGTTGTTGACAATAAATATATATACATAAAGGTTACTGTGATGGTTTCATACCTCGACATTCTGTCATTTTCTGAATATAATCAGGAGGAATCTTGTTAACTCCTGATGGTTGAGAGAGGATCCACAGCTGAGCAGAGGGAAGCAGATTCCCCTTGATGAGGTTTGTAAGCAGCACGTCCATCGAAGCTGCCTCTTCCATATCCGTCAGTTTCTTGTTCTTTTGGAAGTCCAGGGGAAGTTCACATCTCTCCAAGCCATCAAGCACAAAAGCTAATTCACACTCTTCGTAGTTGTAAACTCTTTGTTCATCCTCACTTAGGGACTGACGAATCAGATCTATTAGACTTTGATCTTTCTTTCTTGAATTCAGCCAATCAAAGTTAAAGGACACAATCAAGTTAATCTTTTTGTTGGATTTTTGTTTTGCCCAATCTACCATGAACAACTTTGTTTGAAATGTTTTGCCAACACCTGCCACTCCCTTCGTCAGCACCGTTCTCACTTTGCTGGACCAAACTAACCATTTACTTGAAGTGAACAAGTGATCAAAGGATTTGAGGGCTGTAGCTTTCGTGTTTTTGGCATCCTGTATCTCGAAGAGTTCTGTCTCTGTTTCTAATCCTCTCAGTTCCTCTTCATACTGATGAAGGATTTTCCTCTGCAGGGCATCTTTGTCTATTGAAATCATAAAGAAGATTCAAAGAAAGCAGATTACATAACTGCATTTCATTTTATACTCCTACACAATATAATGAGTTATAAAGTACAGCGTGACATGCTGTATTGTGTTCTACCTGCAGTTAAGGTTCAGAGGCAATAGGACAATAAACAAATGTACATCTACATTTGAAATGTTTTGTCTTTAACTTAAAAACGGTTTCTCATTTAAAAAGTATATATGTTGATCATTCGTTGTCTACCTGTCCTGATGTCTTTCCTCTCCTGGCCAGTCTCCATTGAAGGACTTAGGTGCAAAGTTAAGATATGTTAGTGTCAATACAGAAAGACAGATTTGTCCTCATATCATCAGTTTTCTTCTTATATTAACAACCGTATACTGCATGTATTTTCCTACCTATTCACAGGAAAGGAGTTGAGAGCATCATCCACAGTTGGAGCCTGTTCCAGCTCAGACAGGCTTTAATACAAAGACAGAACTGAACTTGAGTTTTAAGGGGAGAATATCCAGTTTATCACAAATGATTGTCTTAAAAATATATTTTTTTGACTTAGAGTTGTTCTGTGTGAAGCATCCAGCATAATAAACACATCTTACCCATGTTCTCCTTCAATGATGTTGATAGGCTTATCCATCGCACGCCCTCTTAAACTGGAAAATGTGCTGGATGCAGGAGAGACTGGTCTCTCTGGCCATAGACCTCTTTAACACACATTAGAATTACAAATATTAATACTTTTAAACATATTAATTACGTTAAACCTCTTATTGGAATTTGCGGAATTTCTCTTTCAAGACATTCTCCTTGATTTGATTTCTCAATTAGTCAAACATCCAGCATAATAAACACATCTTACCCATGTTCTCCTTCAATGATGTTGATAGGCTTATCCATCGCACGCCCTCTTAAACTGGAAAATGTGCTGGATGCAGGAGAGACTGGTCTCTCTGGCCATAGACCTCTTTAACACACATTAGAATTACAAATATTAATACTTTTAAACATATTAATTACGTTAAACCTCTTATTGGAATTTGCGGAATTTCTCTTTCAAGACATTCTCCTTGATTTTATTTCTCAATTAGTTAAACATCCAGCATGATAAACACATCTTACCCCTGTTCTCCTTTACTGAAGTTGGGAGGATAATCCTTTGAACGTACACTTAACCCAGAAATAGTGCTGGATGCAGGAGAGACTGGTCTCTCTGGCCATAGACCTCTTTAACACACATTAGAATTACAAATATGAATACTTTTAAACATGAATTACCGTTAAACCTCTTGTTGGAATTTGCAGAATTTCTCTTTCAAGACATTCTCCTTAATTTTATTTCTCAATTTGTTAAACATCCAGCATAATAAACACATTTTACCCCCATTCTCCTTTACTGAAGCAGGGAGGATCATCCTTTGAACATACACTTATACTGTAAATATTGCTGAATGCCGGAGAGGCTGGTCTCTCTGCCTTAGGAAATATTCTACACAGATTATAATTAAAATGTCAATTCCAAAACCATTTTAGACATTTTTGAGTCTTGAAGTGGAATTCATAGTCTGTTTCTTTCTGTTTCAGTGAATTAATTTCTTTCTGTATCAATTATCCAGCATAATAAACACATCTTACCCCTGTTCACCTTTACTGAAGTTGGGAGGATAATCCTTTGAACGTAGACTTATCCCGGAAATAGTGCTGGATGCAGGAGAGACTGGTCTCTCTGGCCATAGACCTCTTTAACACACATTAGAATTACAAATATTAATACTTTTAAACATATTAATTACCGTTAAACCTCTTATTGGAATTTGCGGAATTTCTCTTTCAAGACATTCTCCTTGATTTTATTTCTCAATATGTTAAACATCCAGCATAATAAGCACGTCTTACCCGCATTCTCCTTTACTGAAGTTGGGAGGATAATCCTTTGAACGTACACTTATCCCAGAAATAGTGCTGGATGCAGGAGAGACTGGTCTCTCTGGCCATAGACCTCTTTAACACACATTAGAATTACAAATATTAATACTTTTAAACATATTAATTACCGTTAAACCTCTTAATACTTTTAATATATTAATACCCCGATAAACCTCATTGGATTTGGCACCCCCCCCCCCCCCCCTCAAGTTGAAGGGCAACACTGCACTGTATATCAAATACAGACGATTTGAAGGGTTCTTTAACTTCAAAAACTAGAAGGAGTAAGCTTGATTAAAAAAATGAATACTGAAGAACCCAGTACGGTCTTGACAGCTCTATTTCATTTAAATGAACTAGCTCTTCACCACATAGTTCATACATTAGACTTTTCCATCCTGTCTGCGTTGAGACCGAGCCAATTAAAAAGATGAGTGGCTCACGTGTCAGTTGATGTCGTCTCGGCCTGCTCCATATTGGTTTCACACAGTTTGACCTGTATTCTAAGAAAATTACATAATTAATACAGCAGCATATTTTGTTCCACATTATTTTCAGTTCCTTGTCCTTTTTACTTACTATAGTTTCCGCAAAGAACAATCCAACGGACAAATTACATAATTTTTGTGATGCTACAATAACAGTGGAGTTATTGAATATTATTTGCCATAAATATTCAAAGCTATTAATTACTCAAAAGCGATTTTCTTGGACATCAATATATGACATGATTTTTGGTGATGCTACCATTCATATCAGTGACGTTATTGAATATTTCTGTAATATGTTTCTCCGAATAGAGCCTTTTCACAATAACTGTAAACGCATAATCAATGTGGGAGTGGACTTCCTGTCAAGCGACACATCAGGAGAAAAAGGATCCGAGACTCGCTGAGAGTATCTTCACAACATTGCTGACAGATGTATCTACAATGACATTTGCTGACGTTGCAAGACTGGTGGAGGAAAACTCTGTCACAAAAAAGAACAAAATAAATAAAGGAACTATTCGGCGGCGGCGCATAATCCTGGTCCAGTTTTAAAGTTTTCTTTGCTATTTCCTTTATCTCGACTCCTACAGACGTCAACAGCTGCCGTTTTTGGCACCGCTCATATACAGGGACAGCCTCTCATTTCCAGCGATGAACAGTGATCCCTCAAACATAGTCGTCAGAGGTTGGGCTGTCAGAATTGAATTAAAACCTGTCGTTTGAAGAGTCGCTTTAAAAAAAACACATTTATGCGAATATCTGGTTGCGCAAAAGGCACGTCAATAACAGGACAAACGTCTCGTTGTATTCAACTACTTGTATAGGTAATTTATTTAAGTTTAAACATACATTACAACATGCAAAAACACATTACCTACACAAAAATTAGTAAATGATCAAGACTGCAGACCTTGTCCTCGCACACACACACGCACTCTCTCTCTTTCTCTCTCTTCGGTTAAAATGAACAAGTGCTGATCACGAGTTTTGCCGCTTTTGCCACTATTGTTGTTCTACTTATTTTGAGGTTAATTTCCAGTAGATTATAAATTAAGTATGTGATGTTAGGTATGTGAATTGATTTATGGTTTCTTGGGTTATATTTCTTTGACCTTACATTCATGTTTGTATTTCAAGGTTTTTCACCTGGTTTGACTTGGACAATTTTAAAAATAAAAAGCAAGAAAGCAAAGAAGTCCGAATCTTGGTCATTGAGTGGAATCCAGTCTACACTTCTTAGCAAGCTGCCCTTTCAAGTGGGGGGCTGCAGTTTGACCCTCACAAAAGTGAGACACTTGACAGTCACACTCACTAGGCAAATTTGCACCAATTTTGCGCCAGACTTGTCTGTAGCTTCCTGACTGTGGTGGGTGCGGCGCTGATACAGGGCAGCTACGCAGACCAGACGCGCCACAACTAAATTCAGTCCGCCCGGCGGATGTGGGCCGGATACACGTCAGCTGCAGGGACCCGACGCGCCGAAACTAACCATCGCTTTTTTGAACCTGATTGCTGCACTACTTGTATGCAGAGTGGAAGACTGCCGGCTGCAACGTCTTTGTGAGTATTAGTAATTGGGTATTTTTGGGTATTATATACACTAATAAGAAAAAGTATACAATATATAAGTATACACCATATATATAGTATACTATATCTCTCCTGTATATATACAGGAGAGAATGTATTTGCCATTGCTGGTCACATTTGTCAGATTGACAATATTGTTGAGTGTTATGATGGCATCTATTTAGTTTATAGAAGATTTTCATCAGTCCATCTTTTTTACCTATCCATTCAGTTCAGACTTTCTAAATAAATACAGTGTCTCTCAATTATCAGAACAATGCATGTATGCCAAAGTGTGCGCAGCTGATTATAAATGTATATTACTCCCCCATGGAAGAGGTTTTGCATCCATACCAATTCTACATTCTGTGAAACCATAGAGTAGTTTGCAGTTTTTCAATCAGTTGTTTGATCAATTCTAGTTTTGAATTTTTGGGAATGGAATTAATGGGATTTTTGTAAATTTAGATGGGAAAGGTTTATAGCTAACATATTTTAGCCTGTCCCATTGGGGGAAAATTGATACAACCATATAAACCTGAAATATTCCCTCAAGATTTATGACATGAGATATGTTGTACTCATTGCTATGTTCCCCTTACCTCCTATCGTTTATCAATCTCTTACCTCTCACTAATTTAGTGTCTTGTTTCCACAGGTGGGAATGCTGGCCTCCATTGGGGGAAGAGATAACAAACGCATTATCTTTAACATTTTGGCACACATTTTGGCCGACAGTGTAGCCAGATCGATAAATTGGAAAGGGATGAACAATAAAAAGAAATTCAGTGAGATGGGAACCAAAACCATTATGGCTCGTAAGTATCATATATATATAGATGCCTTTCTCTCAGTCCTTACTGAATCCCGCCACGCCACTTGTGTCACATTTATTATTTATTTGTGCAAGCATTTTACTATAATGTCATATAATGAAAATTAATTTTATTATATATATTTTATCTAATATTTACTCTTTGTTTCTTTGCTTTGTGTGCTTTTTAAATTCTTACAGGAGCAGTGAGGAAGAATCGGCTTTCGAACAAAGCCACAGTCACCGGAATTAATCAAATCGCCATCAGATGGTTTAATCTGGCTTGCGACCGTGGGGGGTGGTCACCGTGCCCGGTCACAACCAACTGAGCTGCAGTGATCACATTAGGTTTTGTATGTTGTTTATATTTTTACTGTTACTGTTTATGACATTTTATACCTCTACACACACACACACTTTTTTTTCTGCATGCACACACACACACACGTACACGCTGTTCATGCTGTAAGTGCTCTTTTGCCTTATTAAAATAAAAAACTATTTTGAAAATTACAAATTGTGTGGCTATTAGTTTGGGCTATCACAGACCACAGCCAGGTGAGCCCCAGATGTCAAATAGGTGTCGAGGATCTGGGCCAGGTGAGCCCCAGATGTAAGATATAAGTCGCGGATTTGGGGCAGATCCGCACCACACGTCCTGGGGTTAATGACTGTACTGGGCCAGTGCGGGCCCAGATCTGTCTCTGATCCGTAATTCCAAACTGTTACGGCAGCGATTCCCAAAGTGTGGGCCGCGGCCCACCTCCCCACACCCCCCCATCCACCCGCCCCGACGCCAAACGTTTGACTGCTACGGCAGCAAATCACCAGCCGGTCTGCGAGCTGGACGCATCGGTCTTAATGTGCCGGTAAATGATGGCTGTAGCTGGTTGTCATCTACGGTCCACTACGGTTACATAAAGGTGTCGTTTGTGTTTTATCTTTGTAACCAATCAGGGAGTGACAGCGAGATCCTCTTTGTGGCAGTGGCAAGTGGGTGGCATCAAACTTGAGAGCCCCACCCCCTACACGGAACCCGCCGGTCCTAACCTAAAATTAGCCTCTGTAATAAGAAGACGGGGGCTCACGTGTCTCAAATAAAATTAAATAAAATAAAATATTTACAGCAGCTGACCTGTCGTACAAATAACAGTTGTTTCTGGGAAAAATTGGCTCCTCCCACCCAGCGTGCCGTTGTGACGCCGACTGATTTACTGGCGATTGCCGCTGCCTGCCACAAAGTTGCCACCCACTTGCCACTGCCACAAGGAGGATCTCGGCCTTACTGCAATCAGGTGTAGAGACCATCGTGACTGGCTTTGCCCCCTCACTGTCAGAAAGAACAACACCGAGCGCGTAGAAAACTCCTTCGAGCGCGAGCAGAGACTCTCCTCGCGAGCAACGAAGTTCACGTCTCGCAAGCGAGCAAATACCTCGCTCGAGACGAACTTTTGCTGGCGGATGTTTGTTTTTGGCGCAGTATTCTTGAGTTTGGGAACCGCTGTGTTACGGTATTGGGCCGTTGGAAAAAAAGACCCTGGATCAGGTCCGTTAAGTGGATCCGCGCCAAATGCTAATAAAAACCTGGCCCAGATCTGGCCCAAATACATTTTGCTGTCGGGGGTGTCTGCTGCAGACTTAAGTGTGTGTGTGGGGGGGAGGGACTCTGGGGGGGAGTCCCCCCCTCCCGTCGGCCGCATCGTCCACCCGCCAGTCTATGGGGCGCCGTTTGTGAAATGTTGCACGTTCTAAATTCCTGCGCAGGGGGGTTCACGGGCGCGGAACGTCGCGTAACCCCCCCTTGACCGGACCATCGCCGAGGATTTGACCGCGACGGTGAAGGGGGGACACGGGCGCGCGGTCAAACGTTGACTTCAACGTTATATAAAGACATTTGCAATATATATGCGAGCATGTAGGCCTAACCACGTAGGCCACACAGCATGTCCGATGTAAAGAAGCATGCAGGCGAACATGACAGCAGTACACTAAAGAATACATATCGTTACACATTACACTATAATGTACACAGACTGCATCGTTCTTACCAGTACAGGTGACGTTGGAATCCTTTAGCCATTCTTCTTTCCGTTAGCCGTCTGTAACGGAGACATCAGTGCTCTCCTCCATGCGGCGGAACTGCAGCTTAACTTTCACTTTCACTTCTTCTGCGACTGGATTTTCTCTCCTCTCTGAAGATAACCACACGAGGTCGCCAACAAGCAATGCGGGTTCTGTAAATCAGCAAATGTAGGTTGTGATTAACTCATTACTGTCTATTTGTTCATATTCCTGTCTTCATTTAAACCAAGTGACTTGTAACCTCTGATTTAAGACTTGACTTGCTAGATCGATTTCCTCTAGCGAATGAATTATTTTATACAGGGATTCCAACCTTCTTTGCCTCACAAACCGGTTTTCGAGCTTGGAAATTGTGTCAAAAATAAATTATTTTTTAGAAAAAAGTAAAAAAAAGTTCTTTGCAGCCCGGCACCAAGTGGAAGTCGGCCACTGTGGTCATGTAGTTTGGGACCCCTGATTTTGAAGACAATCTGCAGTTAATTAGAGAATATGAGTGACTATTTCTCAACTAGTCTCTAATGGAGAGGCAGTTTGCTTTACTGTCAATGAAAGATACTTGATTGATAGTAAAGCAAAGTATACCAACTTCTGTAACCACTTCCTGTCTCAGGACTGACCTGCAATACCTGTTCTCATCTGTCAAGTTCTTTGTAATTACATTAGATTTTATTCCCCAGTCCTAAAAATGCCCTTCTTCATTTCGGGCTCTTTGGTTTTCTTGTTTACCTCAAAGATCACCTGCTTCGAAGAACAGTGCAATTGCTAAATTTAGATGTCAAAGACCACCAGAATTGTATTTAAAATGAGATACATTGATTTACCCGATGCAGGGTCATCACGTCCATATATCCTCGTACCCCATCACCACTAAAAGGTGGGTTTCATCCTCACTGACCCCAAAATGAAGGTACATCCTTTCCAGACACATTCACACTAAGATGTGTGTTTGCAAAGCTAAAATTGAAGAATCTTTTTTTTGTGTGTGCCTCCATCTCTGGGCAAGAGAAGAGCTCCCTGATGGGAGCAAACCATAACAACACTGCTGGAGGCCCAGTCAATACTGCGGGGCCGCTGGAGTAAGGAGAGGCACAGGAGTACTAGGACTATGAGAATAGCACACGGTCAGGCCTCACTTCTGTAAAATGAGAGGTTTACATTACATTACAGGTTATTTAGCAGACGCTTTTATCCAAAGCAACTTACATTGCATTTTTAACCCATTGCTTTTAAATTCTTGCCCGGGGAGCAATTAGGGGTTAGGTGTCTTGCTCAGGGACACTTCAACATGGGACATGGAGCACCCGGGGCTCCCGGCGCACCCTCCCTACCCCTGCGCCACGTGACCTTACTAGAGGGACTCTGGTGCTTGGAAACGCCACCTCTTTCTCCCAGGGATTCAAAGCCCAAAACAACACAATATGGAAGTTCCCTTTAGTAAATTAGTGACACACACCAAAAATAAATGTAATTTTTGATAGATTGAATTGAAATCCATAATAATAATTTGGCAAATGATCTTTATTTAGGCGATTATTTGAATTCATCTACAGTGGCATTTTTTGTAATTACATGTCAACACAATCAAGTCTGCTGTGACTTGAGAGGCATTCGGGACACGCAGGATTGCAGCGTTACACATATGATCCTGGATTGTTTGCACAACATTTGGGAAAGTTGGGATGCAGAAACATGTTCACATCTTAAATGCATTAACGGGAGAAGTAACCTGACAGTAAACCTTCACCACGTTAAAACACAAGTTCACAAACTAATCAAACATTCCTGTGGGAATCTTATAACTAAACACCAAGACAGAAGCTGTAAAAAATTGGGACTGTTGTCTCCGGGAAACGCACAGCAGTCGTGTTCGGTCGTAACTCGTAACTAACCTGCCAAACTAAGGTTATTAAATGTGACCTTTAAACTGCAGGTAGAACATTTTATCTGTTTGATGAGCAACGTTTATATCATTGTATTTTACTGTTATTGTGCTCATCTGACTCAACTGTCAGTATTATGGCTCATCAAGAAACGGAATGAAAAGTTCCACTTGGAGGGAGTTTTTTTTTTTTCCACAACGCTATCTGAGACTTAATCATTCTTTTGTCAAGCTCTCCTTCCTGCAGGTAAAGTTTGGTTAATGAGTGCTGAAGGCCAAGCTCATTTCAGTGTGACACAAACTCGAGGTAACACCTCTAGTATTTGTGCCTTTAACATAATATACGTAAAAGTGAGTGTAAAATGGTCTCTGCTGATATATATTTTGAACAATAGCATTGGAACATTGACCAGGTTTCTAACTTTTAGGGTTTGTTTGGAAAGAAATAGTTCCTATTTTCTGTTTCTGTTGATCATTGTCAGTAAAAAGAGTCAAAGTCTGAGACCACACACGTGATATTTGCCAACTTTATTACTTTACTACAGAACAAGGAAACAATAATACAGTATGTGCAAAGGTTATGAGAGGGCATTGGTTTCCTGGCAAAATCTATTGAAAAAAGTGAGCTCAGCAAATTAAATCCAACTGAGGCTCTGACAGATGACGGCTGTTAGCAGATATACGTTAATGCTTGAAATGTCTGAACAGCAACTCACTGACAAACTTGAAAAAATGAAGACTTCTCAGTCTCCGACGGACCGGCTGTCCTCCTCTGGCAGAGCGCTGGGGCAGACAAAACAAACACGCGGCGATTTAGAAGCTGCCTCGTATACGTTCTGGGCTCTCGTCCACATTCAAACAGCGTTTTAGTTCACTAGAAACCGATGGTTGATTTCCTTTCAACAACAGCGAAGATCAGTAAAACGGACTTGAATCAAACTCGTTCATTCCATCACGACCGCTCCCAGAGAGAGAAGCAGAGCAACACTCAGTCGACTGCCCCGCGGTGCTTCGACCGGATGGTCTGGAGCTTGGTTGATAATATTTCCATGTTTAGCTTGTATTCGCCAGTTTACAACTGTTGACCAAGGTTTTGTAAAACAGAAGTGGTGTTTCCTGATTATTCATACCTACCTACCTATACATATATTAACTCTACCATAACATGTTCAGTGCAGGACGTATTTTAACCATGTGGTAGTACTTTTAACTAAAGTTTTAAGTTGTTTGGCATTCCCTCAGGAAATAAACATGGTAGTGTTTCCGTGCCCCAGATTCCCTTCATAAGAACTATTCATTGTCCTGCAGCAGTGTCTGACAGTCGGCCCCACCGAGTCCTGGTTAGTTTTTTTTCCGTGCAGCCTGGTGTGACGTGAGGGTTGGTGTGGTCTCGGCCTGTGGAGGCATCAGTATTAGATGTTTCAGAAACAGCTAAACAATTGTGAGGATGTGAATACTTCCTCCACCACTGAAAAACAGCAACTTTATGTTATACAGTTTATCATCAATAATATTAAAATAAAGCTATCTGTATAAGTTTACTTCATTCACCAGACTATGTCCTAGAATATTTGTTGCAAACGAATCAGATTAAATTACCCGCAGCAGGACAAGCAAACTCGACATCACGCTTATCAGAGAACCCCATGTTGAGTTGGGAAACCCGGTGTGTTTCTGCCTTAAATCCAAAGTGATAGAAGAGTTTAAAGGATTAGGAATGATGGATGACCACAGGTTCAAGGGGAAGAATTAACTTGAGAGACACTTTTTTTTTTCTACTGCGTTTGAACGGTTTAGTCCACATTGATCAACATGAGGTGCAGCCTCACCAGAGAGGACGAGTCGTTGTGTTGCAAAATAAGTGCAAGTTAGAAACTGTTAGTAAAAGTTAAGAGGTTGGTGCTTTTGTCAACCAAAAGTTCCTTTCATGGAGTGAGCAATCGCATAAATACAGTAACTTGCATGGTGAAGAGTGGCAGGAGTTAGGGATGAGTTAAATGAGAGAGACGTAAAGCAGACAAAACGTCAATCAGACTGACAAGAAGTGTAATTACCTGATATCTCTGCTCATAACTCTCTATCTGTCTTCCTCTCTGTCCCACCTGGCTGCTTTCTTCTTCCTGACATGGATGGTCCTGTCTGTTTTTTTCCCTTCTTAATAATGCCTGTCCTGTCTTCCATCGCCAGCGAGCAACCCCCCTCCTCCAGCAGTGACAGGGGACCTGGAAGCCATCGGAGTGAAAGCCTGCTGTTGTCTTCTCGAGGGGACTGCTGGTGTGTGTGTGTGTGTGTGTGTCTGTGCGCGTGTGCATGTGTGACGGTAGATTAATGGAGATGATGTGAATATTCAGGACAAAGAGGGTTTTTCACTGCGGGAATCAGACGCCACATCAGCCTGACATTCCACAGACTGCTGGACTTTGCGTGGAAACGTCCACCTGACATTTGAAAGCTCTGCTGGGCGACAGCTTTCCATCAAATAGCACCTAGAAGAAGCTCACGCGTTTTCCCCATTCAGGCAAAAGTCCACAAGGAGATGGCATGACATGCATGCGAGTGAGTTCAAGTTAACGACAGTCTTGTGAAAGTAGCAAAGAAAGACTGAGAGACACGACGGAGGTGAAGGTGAAGCAGGCGGCGATGAGGGACAGACGGAGGGGACACCTGCCCCAGAGGACTTGGTGGATAGCAGTTAGAGACGCTTCACTCCTCCAGTCAGATGCTATTAGAGGAGATGAAGTTGTTATTGTTAGTGACCCCGGAGTTGGACACACACACAGACACACTCACGGACGGGATTGTTGGTGTCCTCATGAGGACCAGCATGACAGCATGAAAATGTATAAGAATGTATTTTTCTTCATGGGTTAAAGTACTTTGCAGCACTAAGAGTAAATTATAAGATCATTGTAAAAACAAAAGTAAATGAAATGTCCCCACCTAAATCAAATGCCTATATTTATATATTTTAATCTATTATAGATTAATTTTGTATTTTAAGAAATTGTACTATACTATAAAAAAATCAGTCAAAAACTGCAAATGCTTTTAAATCTCATTTATATTTGACAGATGTCATGTCTTAATGTATTCATCAGTTAGTGTAATGACACTCAAATGTTTGCATCTAAGAACGTCTGATTCAACCAGTGTGTGTGCTTACAAAGTGTGTGTGTGTGTGTGTGTGTGTGTGTGTGTGTGTGTGTGTGTGTGTGTGTGTGTGTGTGTGTGTGTGCTTACAAAGTGTGTGATGAGTGAGTGTGTGTGTGTGTGTGTGTGTAAGAGGCGACAGCGGGCTGCTGTTCTTGCTCTCTTGAGAGAAAGGGTTAAAAAGAGAGTAAATCATGAATGAAATTCCTGTTTTCTTTTGAGGACATTTCACAGGCCATTTCACTTCTAGAACGTCCTGCACAACATGCAGCACTTATGCTGTCATGTACTAAATCAGATCAGGCATCGCACAGTGGTTTGAGTAGTCATTTGAGGTACGATTCTTTTTCATCCCCCAGTCGATGGTCATGGCTTTGTTTTTCTTGGCTGAAGAAACTAATGTTAATACTGTACGCAGACACAGAGAAAGAACCGCAGTGAGGTGTGAGGCAGGTGCACCTCCGCTGAGAACAACAGATGCAGCTTCTTTTATTCTTTGGCACATTCGTTTTAGCTGACTGCAACTGTTCCTCTGAGTCGACTGGATGCTCATCAGGATCACCTGAGAACTGAGGCAGTCGAACCCTTTCTCAACATCTAGCAACAGAGGGTAAGAAGCCATTATGGAAAAAAAGAATTGTGATACGTGTCAAACACCAGAAATACTAAGAATGAAACAATCAAAATGTTTCAATAACTAATTCTGTCTTATGTGACATTTTCAGATTTCCTTTTTTTCATATGCTGATCCCGTCCCTGGAACAGCGTATCTTTTCTTAAAGATGCATCTATTGACAGTTATTTGGTTAACTGTACCTTTGGTGGATTTACTACTCTCTTTTGTGTGTGTGTGCGTGTGTGTGTGTGTGTGTTGGGAGGGGGGTTGTGTTCCCAAGTGCCTGAAAAGGTTTGACTGTCTAAATGTTTCCAGTGCTAGAATTTAACCTCTGAACTCTGAAGGAAAGTGCTTTTCGTTCATCAGGGAGAAAGTGGACACAGAGTTGTACGCGCATACAGTCACGGGCAAACACACTAACAAGCACATGTGGGAATACACACACACACACACACACACACACACTTAAGTTATGAGCTGCCATGATGATTCATGAGGGCGTGATCATTTCCCTAAAGGCCGCACTCTGACCTTCGACCCCTCCCAGCTGCAGTGTGGTTCACCCTCAGAAGTCACATCCTTACAGTCGTCTGTCCTCTTCTTTCGCCTCAGTTTGGCCCATTCGTCGCTCCTCACCTTTTTACATTCTGCCTTCTCCAAACTTCCTCCCGGCCTCCACTCAGAGGGGACACATTAGATGAGACATGATGGGCTCCCGTAGTCGGTTTTTGTCATTCAGGAATTCACGGCTTCTCATTAAGTTAACATGTAATTTCCTGCATCTGCTCATTTTTATGTTGACTGACTTGATGGATGAAGTGATGAACACAACGTATTACATTTATGAGAACAGACAAACATCACAATCATCCTCTCACATGCAGCAGGGACCTGTAACTATATATATATATATATATATATATATATATATATATATATATATATATATATATATATAATAGATGTATAAATGGTTAGGCCAACTAGTTACTTTACAGATCAACACCTCATCATTGAAACGTTTGGGAAATGGCCAACAATATATAAGTAGTAGCCGCATTTAAGTGCTTTCATGACAGTCCATCAATTTCTACATAATATTACAGCTACTTTCACTGAAATGAAAAATGAAAATACTGCTTCAACCGCTGTCCTCGCCATGTCTATGGACTTACAACTTCCACTTAAAACTTTATATTGGAGACAGAACTGGCAACAATATTAATAAAAGTTGGTCACAATTAACGGTCTTTCTTTTTCTGAGGGTGATTAGATTTAGAGCTCACACACCAACACGGCCTCCCTTCAAAAACAGCATGTTCCCAATACCCATTCTGAGTTTGTGTGTGTGTGTGTGTGTGTGTGTGCCCCCAACAAGTCAACAAACTATTTCTCTCTGGTTCCTCCTTCTTGTCTCCTCCAAATGTTAAATAAAGTTAACCCCTGTTTCCTAAAGGTTATCAATTTGCCCTTTTATATACACACAGTTCAGTCCAAATCATTTCTGGCAATTTATTTTCTTCTCTCGTATCAGTTGCAGCCACATATTATTGAGTCTACAAGCACAGAAACCGTGTCCTATTTAATCCCTGATAATAACCATTAACAGCTGAGCGCCACTTGGCTGCAGTAATTAGGGAACAGTGAAAGGGAAATAGGCGTGAGAAGGAGGAAGAAAGAATTACCAACGGCCTGCTAACATTTCTCTATGTTCCTCATCATTTTCTCATTATCGCTCCTTTGCCAATTTTCTTCATCCCTTTCCTCTCAGGCTGAACCTCATGCACATGTCTCCAGCAGGCCTCGAAGACCATTAATGAGACGTAGACAAGACAAATAATCTAATCCGTCCACAACGCTGTTCTTCTAAAAGCCCCACTAATCTATCTGGGATTATAAAAGAAGGATGTGTTCTTATCCTCATGACTTGTATCCTAAAAAGACAAAACACAGACACACGTTTAATTAAACAGTCTTTCCTGTTACAAGCCACAATGATGGATGTAGATGCAACCTACGCCTGATTGAAAGACTCTACATGTCAGTTGATTAGGAGAGTCTGCAGCGTTTCAGCGTGTGACCCAGTCAGTGTGTGTATGTTAAGTGAAAAGACGCCGCACAGCACAACACTGTTTACTTTCCCCCCTGGAAATGGCTATTTTAAAGCTACATTAGCAGATTGATTAGTTTTACCTGTGTTAAGCAGGGATATGCACCATGTCTGAGTGTCAGCCACGACCAGGCAGTAAGAACGCTCTCAAAAATATGGAGGTGAGATTAGGAGACTACCAAAGAGGGACCAAGAAGTCATGACCTGTGAGAAAGGAGATTATGGAAGGGAAATATGTTATTTACCCAACTGCAGGCCACAACCTCATTCCACTATGTATGCTGTAGTTAGCCAAGTCATGACAAATGCATATAAATACACATTTTAATGAGGAAAACCATACTCTCCTTGCCTTCTCTCGTGCTCATCCTGTTACGCGCGATCCCCGTTCTCTTCGCCTGACTGTTTTTTATGACCTTTCCCCCCTCGATGGGTCAACCCTCAGAAGGACTGTCCTGTTTTGTCTGAACTTCTGACCTTTTCCCCTTTAGCCCGGGGTCACGGCCATCAGAAGCAGCTGCAGAGTAACAACAGTGTGGTGACAAGCTGCTCCAAAGACGCTCTAAGACACTGTGGGTTGTTGAGCTGTTTCTTTTTGTTGCATTAGTCTTTGCCAAAGGGTCGCCTGAGAACCCAAAGGGCTCCCCATGGGGTCAGAAAGGTCTCCATCGACATAAGACATTGTATATAAACACTGAGTTTGTTAATGAGTGCGGCGTTCAGACAGTAACAGTGGCTCGCATACGTTTGCCTCTGCTGCCCTCTAGTGGCTCTAAAGTGAACACAATATTGTTAAATGCCAAAGAATCACTTTGAAAGTGCTGCTTCTATTATTGAAAATGCAATGGGTATTATTATCGTTAAGCCCAAGCTTAGTGTGTTTTTTGTGTGTAAAATACGATGTTAAAAGTTTTTAAAATGCCGTCGTCATGACCCTTTTATTATGAAAACCTTGAACCGGAAGTTGTAGTCACCGCTCCCCGGCGAACCGCTCGGTGTTACGTAACGTGAGCGGTGCACAGTCTGCCGACGATGCAGTCTTAGTTGTAAGTAAAACAGCATCAATAATACAGACGCCTGTACACTTTAAGTGGCACTTAAATGGTAATTTAACCCAAAACGTGCCTTCAGTCTGAACCCCTATTTTGGTGAAGGAAGCTAGCATCACAGCTAACGGACCTGATTAGCCTAAATTACAGCATCGAAGATTAACGTAAATTTACTACCGAGTTAATCGAAAATCGTGACTGTCAATAAAGCCGAACGGATGCCAATTAGCTCTGCTTGTGTATAACTGCCGCCGGTCAATTGTACTTTAGTATGAATTGATTTCATTGTAACAGCCTTGTTATGTTATGTTCTCAGATGGTCCTGATGATGTCATCGTCACTAGATTCAGATTAAAACTGAACATCTTTAGTGAGATGTGTCGAACAAATGCAATATCTTTTAAGTTTTGCTAATTATTCTCCACAGTCTTGGATGATTACCTACCCTGCATCTCTCTGCTCCAGTGTACTAAATAATGGAAACCCCCAAACGACAGAGTACAGCTGCTGCTTGGCCTCCTACCTGCCTGTTGAGATGTCTGTGGGCACCAAAAGAAGCTGTTAACGCCTAAATAGCTGTGTTAAAAGCAGTATGAGTGATTTAACAGAGTTCGAAAGATGCCAAATAGTTGCTGCACGACTATCGGGTGCATCCGTCACAAAAACTGCACAGCTGTTCAACGTGGCGAGGGGAACGGTCTCCAGAGTCATGACCGTGTACATCAAGCACGGACAAACGGCGTCCGCTAAGAAGAACAGCGGGCGCAAGTCAAAGCTCACTGAAAAGGATAGACAGACACTTCTCAGGATAGTTGATGAGCACCCAGAGTATACAGCCTCAAAAATAACCTCGGAGCTGAACAGACAGCTCTCTCACACCGTGTCAGTAAAAACGATCCGCCGGGAGCTTCACAAAGCCGGTGTTTTTAGAGGAGCAGCCAGTCGGAAAACGGAGGCTGAGACTCACTCAAGGAAGCCGGATGGAAAGGATACTAAACCTGGAACTGAAAAAGAGATTGGCACTCAAAAAACTTGTGAAGAGAGGACGAGACCTGAAAGGCAAACAAATGACAAAGAGTGGGGGACACAAAAGTCGGTGGAAGACATACCTGTGTCTGAACCTCATGCTAGTGTCAAAGAATACTACACAGGAGAGAGGATCCAACCTGAATCCAACGTTGGTGAGGAAGAGTACAGCACAACAAAGCTGAGTGAAGAGAGCACGGGACCTCGGGCCCGTGTACCAGACCCGTGTGTTGTATTTCTGCCTTTCTAAGACGGCCTCATTGGTCATGTTAAGGGAAAATCATCCCTTATTTTGACCACTGTTACATGTGACACTGGGTTTGGACTTATATTTCAGTTTCTAGATTTTAGTATTTATTTCTGCATGAATGCATAACTGTGCAGAATTCTAACTTATCACATGCTTTTTTTCATATTCCTGTGTTACAAGTGAATGGTACATTTGAATTTACAATGTAGAGGGAAGTATTCAGTACTAAAAAACACAAGTACAATACATGAGACTTTTGGTTCACACCGCTGCTGTATTCTGTTGCTTTTTACTGCTGTATATCGGTATGATTGTTGTTACATTAAAGGTTTTTGGTTGAATCGTCAGAATTGCATCATGTTCAATATAATCATTTGTTTGTAGTGGTCATGTCCAGTGAGGCTCTCTAAAATGTTTCCATGGGCCTTTTTTTACCAAATATTTATTTAATTCAACATGTAGAAGAATTTGCTCAATCCGTATAGGACAACATAATCCTTCAGTTTATCAGAACAAATTCAAATCCAATTTGGAGACGGGAAGGAAAACTGTAAACGTATCTCAGATCAATGTTGTGGATTCGAAGTAAAGCATTTTTATTCGAAAGTTATTATATAACTAAATGTTTTTCTATTGCATAAAAATCAACGAAACATCGTTATATAATAAGTTTCATTTATTTATTTATTTCCACAATTGATGCACGTACGTGTACGTCTCGAACAGTTGCGTAGAATGACGCAGAACCCACAAACCCGGAAGTAGAGCATCAGCTGTAAACAAAGCTGTGGAAGCTGTTAAGTTAAAGATGGTGTACGTGTCTAACGGTGAGTGGCTTGTCCTGTGCCTTCAACAGTTTTCTGATTTCGAGAGAAAATAGACAGCGCTATCTGTCGTATTGACGTACCTTACTTTTTCCAGTGAAACTATACCACTTCAACATGAAATGTGTAGTTGCCGTGGAGCTTTAAGCTGCATAAAGCTAACAGTTAGCATATTAGCAGTTAGCCTAATTAGCTACGGAGCAGGAAGAACATCTGATTTAAACAAGCACGGTTTTTTTTTTTACAAGGGAATACCTACTGGCGGCTCGTCTGTCGCTCAGCATATAGTTCCACTAATAGTAGCTAGAGGGCTAACGTGATGTCAAACGTTAGGCGATGAAAAGTGTGTTGTGGCTCGTTCAGGAGTTCTGATGAGCCGCTTGTCTGTATGTTTAAACTATTAACTGGCAAATTGAGGAAGGAAACGTGGTCTTGATGGTGAATGCCAGTTCACGATGTTTTCCATTAAGTGAACCCTGATTTCTCACCCGCCGCTGTCCGTCTCTCTCAGGTCAGGTTCTGGACAGCAGGTCCCAGTCGCCATGGCGACTGTCCTTTCTGGTCGATCTCTTCTGGGGAGCAGTGGATTTTATCGGCCTGTTGTAAGTGTTGATAGTTGTATGATAGTTTTTCGTATTGTTTGCTGTACTGCTTTGAGCTAAAGTGTCTCTCGGCTTTGTTCTCAAGCCGAAAGTACAGTGATGCTTTTTGTACACCCTCATGACACCACACTGATCTCCTTTTGTCCTCTTGGCAGTTTTAAGACAATACTTCACCCCGACATGACGAAGGATGGAAAATCTGGTGCGTCCCGCTTCAGTGACGGCAGAGGGTAGGCCCAGTCATTTCTCTACTCTCACTAACACCGGGGACATGTTCCCCCAGTGTTCCCCTCCCTTCAGTTCAAGTTTTTGAATAATTAAATGGGAGAGGATAAGACGAACTAGACTAGTCGATGGCCCATTTCAAGACCTCCATCCTCATTTTATGTTCCTGCTTCTCCGTCACTTGTTTTCACAGTCCTCCAGGTCCCCCTGGTGGCAGAAGGCGGATGGGGAGAATTAACCATGGTGCAGGTCCCTCTGCCCCACCAATGGGCGGCGGAGGATGAGGAAGGTAAGGATTTCTTTTTAAATGAACCCTTGGAACTTCTATTTATAGAAGCTGTATAACATGGTAGGTGGCCTAAAAAACACGTTTTGTTAAATGCCTCTCATATCTGGAGATGTGAAGATCTAACTGCTCCATTGTACAACCCTCGCTTCTCTCTAGGTAAACGCCTACACATTCAGTGTAGGCGTGGGGCCTCGCACAGTGTCCACGTGCTGAGACCGTAAAGATGATGTCACAGTGCTGATGTCACAGTGCTGAGGCCCCCCTTCATCGGCTGCCGCTGCGACGAGCAGTTTCTTGACGCTTTTCTGGGAATTCCTACACGTAGGGGCCAGAGAGGCCGATGCAGCAGCTATCCACCCCACCCCCCCCCCCCGGTACCCTCTTCCTCGAAATCACGAAGTTGATTGTCATTTTTTGTATCTATGTTTAATTAAAAGGTGTAATGTTTAGACATGTCACTACTGAGTTTGCAATGTTCCATTAACATCACATTGTGTGACGCAACAGCACCGTGTTGACCTCCGCGGTAAGGACAAGTTGAGGTGGGATCCCTTTGACCCTGTTCTTAATACTTAAGTTAACTACTTGATATTCAAAGAAAAGGGGTATTGTCTTTGCAGAGTAAACTGGTGGCGCTTTCAACTTAAATGCCTGTTTGTCTTACGAGCATTGAGTTACTGGGTTTATAAATTGAGTTGCATTAAAGGCTATCTTGTGATTCAACCCAATATGTTCGTAACTCCAAATGCAACAATTATGTATCCAAGTTGGTTAGGTTTATTTACACACATCTGAAACAAGGCAACAGTTTCAATATTATTTACAAAATATAATTGAAGACTTTTAAAATTGAACAATAACTATCCGGGTTTCTATTGGATGACACAAAGTGAAGATGGTTTGTTTAAATTTCAACATGGCGTCAGCCGGACTATAATCTAAAAAAAAAAAGGATTGCCCTGAACGCGCAGCTCCCGCTACACCTGCAGTGTGGACTCAGCGTTGCTTTCAAGTGTAATCGGTTTGGTTTCACCAGACAAAAGCAGCTCTCTCGCGGAGCATTCGGACCCCAAAGCGCTGCCACTCCCTCTGATGGATCCACATCTCCTGAGTGGTGTCCAGACACGCCAGCACTGCTCCGCCCTTCCACGATATGAGCCGAGGGTCCATGTCCTAGAGCACACGCATGTCAGTATAGGTACACCAGAGGAGTTATGTATTGAATGTGCCCATTTCTACAGGGTGTATGTACAGTTTGTTCTGTAGCACTGATCTGAATCCCAAACCGTTGACTTGCATGGAATTATTTTTTAATGAAGCCGACTGAGCGGCATACAACTTTGCCCGATCTGTATCCGACTTGATGACCAGCGTAGTCTGCGTTACCTTTGGCCGCGTAATAACTTCCAGGTTGTCCACCAGCCTCCTGAAGGAAGGCGGCATTTTGTTGATAATGCGGTGAAGTAGAAACTCCTGAGCACCTTGAAACATGAGCCCTCCTCCCACTACCAGGATGGAGCTGTACATCTTGCGTTTGGTTTCGTCTGATGCTAAAAAGGAAATGAAATACAAGATGAGCTTACATGTGACACCTCGTAAACCTCCGGATGCCTTATTATATGCGTCCCTCCTTACCACAGCAGTCGATGCTGTGCAGGATGGCCTTATCCAGGCCCAGGGCCTTGCTCTCAAACTGGCTCATGATGGCGGTCTTCCTGGAGAGGTGAGCAGACAGGGGCTCCTCCACCTCCCCGACCCCCATCAGGCACTCCCCCTGTGCAGGCCCAAACTCCGTCTCCCCTTTCATCCCTCCCCCGCCGCTGCCACTCCCACAGCTCCTGTTTAGGTCAGAGAGCTCGCCAGCTCCTCCCTGACTGCTCATCTCACCATCCAAACCGCCCCCAGGTCTGGACATACCCTTCCGGTCTGCAGCAGATTTGGAGGACTGGTGAAGAAAATGGGATAATAATCACACATATTCCAAGGTGGAGAAGAAATAACTACTATATGATATCTGTGTTACTGAGTATTACCTGGTCCTGTTTGCTCTGTGTAGCCATCAGGTAGTGTTCATCATGAGGATCCTCGGAGTCTCCTTGGGAACGGTATTGAAGTGATGTCATCTTCTGACCTACGATGCCGAATGTGGTGGGGTAGAAAAGACCCATAGGTGCCTAACAGAGATATGAGGCAGAGAAGGAGGGGACGCAAATACGGCCGTGGATAATAAAGTACTTCCAGTTCACAAGCTTGTGACTGAACATTGGAAAATATCAAACTTAATTACCTGTAATTTTTCATCTCCCAGTCGAACCTGGTAGAGAAGAGCCGGGGCTTCTGGGAGACGTATCTGGAATTCGTGATCTTTTAGTCCGGATATGTCCTGTTAAGTGGACGAAAGACACATTTAGTAATTCATCTGAATAACTACAGGTTTCTTGAAAAGGACTATGGTGACATAAAAAGACACAGTTCCCAAATACTTTAAAACAGACCCTCCCACCCCTCACATACTTGGTTCAGATGGCAGAAGGTCTCTTTCAGATGCTGTAGCAGCTGACAGTTCAGTCTGCTGGACAGCTGACAGTCTCTGTAAGGAAAGCCGGCTCTCTGCAGGAGCCAGAAGAACGTGCGGGTCACATCTGAGCCTCCATAAGCCAAACACAATCTGCAAAGTACAACAGACGGAAGATACCATGAAAATCTTTGTCTCCCTAAACTGACAGCATGTCATAACTAGACCAACTAGAGGGAATGCAAAACTATTATGAGGGAAGCAAACCTAATGCTTAATGGTAATGTCATTGTAAGGAAATGCAAAAACAAACCAACCAGAAATTATCTATTTTCTCAAACATTATGTATTGTCATCTTGCGTGTGTCACAGTTGTGGAAAAGGGATCCCTGATATCTGCAATTTTAGTACATCGTAATAAATCAAATATAGACGTGGTTCTCAGTCCCACCTGGAGTTCCGATGGGACACGCCGTCCTCTACACAGCAAAGACTGGACTTCTGGTCTCCTACGTCCACCACACAAGCACTGCTCAACCCACTGCCAAATGTAGCACACACAGACTCCTGGTGCACGATGATCGCTGCGCGCCCAGACACACACACAAGCACAGAGCATGAGGCGATGCCAAGAGAGACAGCCTGCCTCGAATTTGCTATTGCAGGAGCATTAAATTGTATATGTACATTTTAGTTGTGTATGCAGCCATACACTTAATACCTGAGAAGCCCATATTAAGCAGCAACATGTTGACGACTTCTTTGACGTGCTGCCTGTTACAGATGTCCGGGACCAGTAGGATGCATCGGTAATACTGTCAACAAGCCACAAAGGCGACGCTTTAACGTGAGAAAACCAGATCTCCTTTTGTGATATTACGCGGGGCGCTTTCTCCTACCTTCAAGTCTTTGAGGGGAATCTCCAGTTGCTTTTGAATAACGTGAGTCCAGATGGTCTCCAGGTCAGCCAGTACGGCGGTCAGCGAGCCTCCAGCGCCAGCGTGCACGTTAAGCTGACCTCTGACTATCGGCCAGTGGATGTTGTAACAGTCAGATGGATTTACATGGAGAGCCTACACGGTGGTGGAGGGATTTAGAGAGGGAGAGCATGAGATGGATGAAACTAGGCACTACGGTATTAGACGTCTCATTTTACCAGACACGTGGACCGACCTCCTCTCCCACTAGATGATGGGGCTGGTGGGCTGTGTTGGTCCACTTCACCCTGGGGCTGCTCTCTAGTACTGCCGGACGGATCTGACAGTTATAAGCTCTGGCCTTTATTCACACAGGTACAAAAAAAAAAAAAAGATTCTTAAATGAATTTCTGCAGGTGAAAGCATGCGGTACTTGAGTTGTTCACCAAGCAGTAATTTACCTTTCATCATAAAAACTCCCCAATACAATTTAAATAATAATATATGCAGCAATTTTCTCTCTCTCATAATCCGCACCTGTTCAGCGGATACAGGTGTCCTCCTCACTCCGTTGGACATTTTCTTGGACCAGATGGCCTGGTCCACCATTTTAAGGCCGTTCTGTCTCTGCTCATTACTCTCTGCTTTCTGTCAAAAGGAAGAAGATGCAAACACACACATTACATTCATTTGAGGACAGTGGAATAAGACAAAGAATTAAATAGACGTATAAATCGCAGGAGGTGTGAAAGGCGGGAAAACAATTCGAAATTAATTATTGTCCCTCTGCGGCGGTGCCTTGGTCTACACATCATATTCTAAAGACTTAAAAACACTTGTTGTCTGGGAAAAAAAACTCCATAAACATCACAGAATCATTAGTTTAATCTGCAAAACTGAATTCCAATGAGCAGCAGAATGACAGCCAGGGCGAATCTGGTCAACTTACATTCAGACCATCTCTCAACAGCCAGGCATCTTCATACCGAGGCTGCCCGGTTTGTTTGTGTCTGCGTGCGATCACGTGGGGGAGGCCCACCGGGAGATTATCGGTCGCTCGGCCAATGCGCAGCGTCCTCGAACCAGGGTGGATGACAACTATAAAATTACTCTGTATTTGCTGGGAGAGAGGAGAGCACGCAAACAGAGGCAGGTGATCGACACAAAACAGCCACGTCGTGCCCAACAGAACTAGAAATCATACAAGTGAAATGCCTGGAATTGTGCGATAACGGCCTCTGCTGGCTGAAGGTTCCTCACGCAGCGCGTGAAACTGGCTGCAGGGATTCCCGATCCCGCACAGCTGGAGTCCAGCACCGATGCTTGTTCGCTGTCAGTCTCGGGACCACTGAAACCCCGGACCGGAAAGCAGCTCACCTCCTGAAGCGGGTCCGGGATGACCGGAGGAGCGATGGGTCTTTTCACGCCGCGTTGTTGCTCTTTTTCTTTCTCCTTGTCTCGTTCCTTTTCTTTCTCCTTCCCGCTGTCCTGCTCTTTCTCCGCCTGAGTCATTGCTGGCGATAGATGCAGTCGACTGAGTCGATGGATGGTGATGAATACTGAGTCGCGACGTCTTTGCGCTTCACAACGGAGCACCTTAGAAAGTTGTGGAAGCCGTAGATTCTACTTCCGTGTTTGATCACGTGCTACAAGCCGGTGGTTTCTATTTGTCGAATGACATCTTTACTCTCTACTGCCTCTTGTGTGTGACGAAGGTACTCATCTGTCAACATATTAAAATTACTTTGTTTCTAATTTGCATGTAGTTACTTTAGCTTGAGTATGTAATATTTTGAGGAAATATATATAAAGGAAATATAATTTGAAAACGTTTTTACTCCGATACTAAACTGAAAAATAAGACTGTAGTGTTAGTTAACAATCAGCCACTAGGGACAAGGGAAAGCAATAGACTCGCAATGCTGTTTAGCTGAATTTGCAATGTAAACATGCATTTCTTTTAAAGAAAGAGACTCCAAAACAAAGCAATGCAAAATGCTTAGTTGAGATATCATTTTAATTCCGTGTGGCTGTTGAGCAATGATGCTGTAAAAACTCCACAGAACACTGACTACAATCCTGCAGACGTAATCATTTTTAGTACAAAAGTTTGCGTGACTCATCCCACACGGACGATAACAAAAAATAACAGAAACAAATTGCTCGGCCACACTTTTAACAAAGACCCTGGTATTATGGGCCCCGTGGCCTATTTGCAGTAGGATAGTTCATTCATTCATTCTTTCCCTGACATGTGTGTATGAACCGTGAATTAATCCCGTTTAGGCTCACATGATGCAGGTCTATCTTGGCAGCCACCTCTATCTTTAATGCAAGGCAATTTAATAATTCCAAATGAAATACAGTAAATAAACAAAAACAATGCATGCATTATTTCTTAAAGCTATTACATAAACAAAGAAGAGGGAAATGGAGTATTCATCAGCTTACAATTTCTACAAAATGAAAATTATGCTGGATGATACACCTGGCATGTTTGAGGTGAAAAACAAAAACGGCGTTATTACAAAATAGAGTAACTCGTTACATTATGCAGTACTGGAAAATAAAAAGAAATTAATCAAGCGGTCTAAGCCTGTGTTTTGGTTAGCAAAATAATCAAAGTATACTGGAATAAAATAGATTCATGTAAATGCACTGTGGAAAGCGTAATAAAAACTCAGCTATAAACTATTCTGACCTGTTGGGGGAATCCACCACATGACCCATTACAAATCTTCAAATAATGGAAACCACAGATTTCAATGGTTCTGCCTCTCTGGAAATGTTTGGCTCGTGTCCTCCAATCTTTTTTATAGCTTCCCTTAACTTCCCTGTACACTTTTCCGTGTAGACGATCCTCGGTCGGAAGATTAAATCGGATATCTTGGCATCCTGATCCTTGCCGTGAAGACTCCTGCACAGCTTGGTCAAGTCCTTCATCAAACAAAAACTCCTGCAGGCACGCAGTTCAGGCGCGAGGTTGCGGGGCCTGTTGTCCTGCTCCTCGCTCAGCTGCACGACGCAGAACTTGGCCAAGTCTCTGGAACTCTTTGCGTGGCCCGCCACCATGTTGAGAATGAGGGGGTAAAGGTCCGGAGCTGAAGCTGGGATTGAAGGCTCTGGGAAGGTGTGATTGGGAGGACAGCGGCTGCTTCTTAGAGAGGACTGAGAGGAGAGAGTTGTCGTTGTTTTTTAAATCCCTCACAGCAACGGCGAGTTAAAAGATGATATTCAATATTACACAGAAGGCACGATCTACCTTTGGGCAGACGATGAGGACCCTTTGGGCCGTCTTGACTTTTTCTGCCAACCAGCGCATTGGGCCCAGCTCTGCGATCTTCCTCTGTTGCCACATGTCCACGGCCACGCTGCATCCGCCGTACGACTGCAGGAACTCCACCAAGGCCACCACGGCCCCCTGGAAGGCTGGATCCTCAGCGGCGTACACCACAAGGACGGGCACGGGGGCCACGGGAGACGCGGGCAACTTTTTGAAACCCACGAAGGTGGCGACGTTTGCTCCATATCTTAAATCTGCAGAATAGAAATGGTTGGAAGCAGGGTTATCTTCAGCACGGCGCTTCACATTTCGCATAACCTGGAGGGGATTTCTGAACTTGTTTGTGGTGAGCTCACACTTGGTGCATTTCAGCACTTCCTTCATTCAATCTTCACATCTAGAGGAAGCATATTTTCTTTGCAACTAACGAGACGATTTGCTAAAGGCTGAGCGCCTTTGCAATGTGGCAAAGGTTGGGGGAAATTCTTGCAATTTTCCAGTATATGGACGTCATAGCTTTGTTACTGAGGACAGGTCCAACGCGTGTGCATCAGTCTTGATTTGAATACTCTCTCACAATTCTTAACTACATGTACAATTTATTTGCCTACAGAGCCTTCTTATAACTAAAGAGATGTTTAAAAATGGTTGTAGTTACACAATATGTAGCAGGAACTCAGGGTCATCAAACCGGCCAGTCCTCCAAAAATGGCCGAGGTAATGCTGGTGAAGTCGACATTACCAGGGACGGTTTCTTTTAACTCTACACAGACAGAGAAACGCAAATAAAACAATTTCACATTTTACTTAATGTAATTATATTTACATTATACTGTATTGCTTTAAGTAATTGTGCAGTCATATCTAAAAAGTTGATCTCAGCTTGCGTATAATATTTCAAAAATAAGTTTTGTTAAAGACAGAATTATCAATCACATCTCTTAATCTCACATCTTTTTACCATACATTACATACACACATTCATTACTAACCAACCTCTACTAACTATGAAGTCGACATTACCAGGGACAGCTTCTTTTAACTCTACACAGACAAACAAATACAAATGGAAACAATTCCCCATGTTACTGAATGTAATAATATTTACATTACATTGCAGTGCTTGAATGAATAGTGCAGTCATATATAAAGAGTATGTATTTTTACTATATGTTATATACGCACATTCAGTAGCAAAAAAAAGAGATTGCTAACCTGTAGCAACTGTGATTTGTTGTTGTTTTGGGGTAACACCTGCAAAAAAAGATTTTACTCTTTTAAAAATAACAATGTTAACAAAGTATTAAAAGGAAGTGGAGACATTTAATAAATCAAGGACTCACGCTGTTTTGGGCCGGGTATTTCGATTGAGACAGACTTATATGGCATGCTGCTTTCCCCTAGATGCATTGGCTGATTGGCAGCTTGGATGCTGTTTGAGCCCTTCTTTGCATTTACTAAATAATAAAACCATTTCTAGATTTGAAAAGACAACAGTTATTCCATTTACCTCCCTTAAGACGTGTACAAAATAAATGATCAACAAAGAAATGCAGTAGTCGAGACTCAATAACCTGCTTGGATCCACCGAGGTCTGCCTCTGCCAGAGCTGGTTTGTATTCACAGACGTGCGTGGATTCCCCCTGAATCACTATCCGGGTGCCGGTCAGATATTCAATACTAGCTGCAAACAGAGAGAAAATGTCCGACATTCTGCACAACTAAAGACAGTTTGCTCAAATAATAGATATACATTGTTAAAACCGCGTTGTCTCATCTCCTCATCTCAACTATTTCCACAAGTGCACACACACAAACATTAAGACACACACACACAAATTTGTCCATGTCCATGTCCATGTTAGTGTTGTGTCATGTTATGTTGGATTTCAACAATAACAGCAATTTACTGTTTCTCTACCATTAGTAAGCTGCGAGGTCAAACAAGCACAAGACAGATTACATTAAAATATGACTAAGAGGGTTTTAAAATTTATATTATTGTTCTCTTACAAGCTTGTTTTGTTGTAACAAAGGAACAGCTTCCATAAAGTCAGCTTATTATGATCATTATGATGATGCTCATCATTATTAGTATTATTAGTATTTAAGTTATAATCATTGTTATTGTTTTCTTTTAGTTATTGTTGTTCTTCCAGTTGTTTTGTTATTATTATTGTCAGTATTTTAAAGCAGCCAATGGGGAAATGGCCTCATCAGCTCTTTGAACTACTTTCACATGTTTAGTTCCAGGTCAGGGCATTATCTATGACATTATTATAAATTATATATATTATCTATAACAGAGCTCAGGAACCTGGAGATGGCAATACATGGTGTTGCTTTGTACAGCACACTAACTCTTAATAATAGTCCATGTTGGTTCCCATTCCCTTCATGCGTGTCTCCTCAGATTTAAACATGACCCTAAATGGTGATATGTTTGTCTACCATGGCAGGCATTGCCCAACACCTTGTTTGTTCTGGAGAACAAATTATTTTACATTTCCCACAATGCTTTAAATACAAATAATACTTCCGGCGATGTACTGCCGTAACATAATCTATAAGGGTCTTTTTATTCTAGATTGTGTGTGTGTGTACTATGCTAAACAAATTCAACATAAACATTTTTACATTTGATTTAGTACAGATTAAAGTCCTTTGGCGAAAAGGAGGGGAGTTAAATCTCTGCTTTCATTTGCTCCAGATTGTATATCGACTGTTATGTTTCAAGTGGGGCGTCACGGTGGCGTGGTGGTTAGCACTGTCGCCTCACAGCAAGAATGTCCTGGGTTCAACTCTGCCCAGTGGCCTGTGTGCAGTCTGCATGTTCTCCCTGTGTCTGCGTGCGTTCTCTCCAGGTTCTCCGGCTTCCTCTCACAGTCCAAAGACATGCTCTGGGGATCAGGTTAATTGGGGACTCTAAATTGCCCATAGGTGTATGAATGTGAGTGTGAATGGTTGTATGTCTCTGTGTAGCCCTGCGATTGGCTGGCGACCAATCCAGGGTGTACCCTGTCTATCGCCCGAAGCTGGCTGGGATAGACTCCAGCCCCCCGCTCAAAGTGGTTTGACGATAGATGGATGGATGTTTCAAGTGTTGCATCTCACCATCAATGTTGATTGCCCAACTTATGTTCATTTGTATCTCTTCATCAGTGACTGGCGCCACTTTCAGGTCCACCAGGACAGACGGAGCTTTATCACTGAAGGAAGGGAGCTCTGGAAAAACAAACAATGGTGCTATTATGTTTGGCCCATATTGGTATTGTCTGAAATGTAATCAGATGCTGTCAGATAATTCATCTGTTTAGTAGTATTGTATTTTTAGTTGTGTAATGCTCAATGTAAAAACATTCATATTCACAAGAACTTGGAATCGCCGTCTTCGGTACAGAATTAATTAAATATCAGGCAGACATTTCAAATGAATCATTTTTTCCCGTTTTCCCTTTAAACTGTATTAGTAACTGTGTCGTTGGTCTTTATTTATTTCTTATTCTATTGCTATGCTATTATACTATAACTATAGATAATGGAATTTCTACTTGAGTCATCCTGCTTTAGGATCCAAATATTACATTTTCATCCCAAAGACAGCTTTGAAAAATAAAACAAAATAACAGTACTAAAAAACAACAATATTAATTGGAAATAAAACACAAAGTGTCTTTAAAACCAGTGGAGGTCAGACCTCATCAACAGTATTAATAATAAAGGACATACCACATTCGCGACACTCCACTTGCTGCAAGAAATTCCAGAAATAGATTACTATATATACACATATTCACATCCCAAAAAAAGTTATTGTCTCGACAAATCGATAACTTACAATTTCTTGCGATGTCGCCTGTGTAGCGAGAGAGTAGAGCAAAATAAGTCCGACTGCCCACATCATGAACACCTGGTTTTGACCTGAAAGAACACAGAACATGATGTACAAGGAGATACTCGGGGGATACTTAAACCTCTGACTCACTGCCTCCCCTGCACGCGCTGAATTAATCCTCGGTGACTCGCTCGCTCGGTGTCGTTACGTCATGATACCAGTCATAGCGCTAAGCCCCGCCCACGGTGGTCCCCTAGCGGGTGCACGAGCCCACGCGCTTTAGTTTCACCAATAGTCCCACGCTCATAGGCTCCACGTTCACTGTGTAATAAAAAAAAGAAGGTAAGGTTATTTTCCTGCTCCCTCTGTCAGTTGTTCACCTCCGCCTCGGTCTTGAGCTGCGGCACCACCTCGGTTCATATTAGACATAGTTTGCAAGTTTTGCACTGAGTTAATGATATACCGTTACGCCCCGCTGCCAACTGCTGACGACGTAAATGGCGACGTTAAATAACGGTTGACTTAAAGTCCCCGGAGGGGGAAAAAAAGTATTTCTGCAACGCTGTCCCCATCGGCCCAAACAGTCCGGTGCCATTCCACCATGCACCTCAAACGTTCTTCTCAAGAACTCGGGGGCGTTGACGTGTTTTAATGAAGCAGAACCGCGTCTCGCTTGTGGCGTCACCCGTTACGCCGATAAACTAACGGCCTCCAATCACGTAACATTTTTAGCCTCGTTTCGAACTAACCCGTAACACCTGAGTTAGTGGAATTTGGAGGCGCGCGTCGGTGTCCCGCTCGCGGTGGGCGCGTGTGGCGTCTCTCGGGCTGTTTACCGACATGTCAGCTATTTGCTGATTCCACCTTATCGCGCTGCTGTGACGGTCCGGACCCACATATGTGCCTCCTGCACGAGAACACAACGCGTAGACTGATTAAACTAGACAAAGGCTTTCCTGTGGCTCCCCCGCACACAATCAGCACTGTTTATTTGTTGGCCCTGGTACCTGAGAGGAGACATTGTTCCACCTGGTTTAAAGACACAAGACTATTGGTCCAAATCAAATTTAAGCCTTTGGTACTTCCGCAAGGAAAAGTTATTAGAGAAACCTGAACTTAACTGAAGGGAATAAGCAACGTGCAGAGCGGGTCTGAATTGTGTTAGTCTCTAGTTAATATATCAACAGTTGTTCATTTAACCGCCCGTCATTTTAGAAATAAGAGTTGAGAAGGGCGAGGCGTGTCGCAAGTAATGATTAATAAAATATCAACTAAAAGAGGCCTTTTGCATACTGAGTAGGACAATATAGAAATGACTGCTACTGTTGTGCGTTTCATTAGATCCTTTGCTTTCTGTCCCAGCTCCTGCTTGCCCACTCAAGTGAAACCCCTTAATGTGTGTTTACAGTGAATGAACAGAACCCTCCCGGAACCATGATGTTGTCTTTGGTCACGTCGGGTCAAACGGCAGCCCGGCGAATCGTGACTGCGACCCGGGGGACGCTTGTGAGGGGTGGCGGGTGTTTGCTTACCCATTTGCCAGAATCTGCCCTCAGGACCAAGAACACGGGCCGGTCCTTTTCCCAATCCGTCTTCAACCACTACCGGTGCTTTAGTGCCACGGCTGCCAACTGGAGAGCTTCGTCGCCTGCAGCCAATCACAACACGCCGTCCTACAGTTATGTCATCGTTGGGGCAGGGTCGGCGGGCTGCGTCCTCGCCAACCGTCTCAGTGAGGACAGCCACGAGTCTGTGCTGCTGCTGGAGGCTGGGCCCAAGGACATGTTGCTAGGCAACCCGCAGTTGTCGTGGAAGATCCACATGCCGGCTGCGTTGATCTACAACCTCTGTGATGACAAGTACACTAGTCATCTGATTTCACAAATGCTTTGTTTACGGATGATGTATTGCTTCCAGTCAGACGCCATGCTGTATCTGTTTCCGTTTCATCCTGCAGGTACAACTGGTACTACCACACTTTACCCCAGGCTCACATGGGCGAGCGGGTGATGTACTGGCCGAGGGGCCGCGTCTGGGGCGGGTCCTCTTCCCTCAACGCCATGGTGTACATCCGCGGACACGCTGAAGACTACAACCGCTGGCAGAGGGAGGGGGCCGAGGGCTGGGATTACGAACACTGTCTGCCTTACTTTAGGAAAGCTCAGTGTCATGAGCAGGGAGAAAACAGGTACAATTTCCTTTCATCCGAATGCTCCGAACAGACTCCCAATGCTTCTTACTTACGAGAACACAAATTAAATGTCTTCTCATAAATAGTAAATATATACAGCGAAGTAGCGATGCTGGGAATTGAAATGATTAATGGCAATGCAGTACCGATCGTTGAATACCTTTACCTTGTTTCTATGGACCGATGTTTCATTTTGAAAGGGAAATGCTTTGTTTTCTGTCACATTAAATCCGCGCTTTATGTGTGTACTGTAGGTACCGGGGAGGCAGCGGACCTCTTCATGTGTCCAGAGGGAAGACCAACCATCCCCTTCACAGAGCTTTTATTGAGGCAGGGCAGCAGGCGGGATACCCTTTCACGGATGACATGAACGGGCTGCAACAGGAAGGCTTGGGCTGGATGGACATGACCATTTATAAAGGTTAAAGGAACCATGAACCTCTTTATCCAATAACCCTTGAGAACACTTTGCAGCCACAACGCTGTAGTCACACATCTCGAATACCAACTGTTATTGTCCATATATCTCTTCCCCTAATCTGTCCAGGAAAGAGGTGGAGTACAGCCAGCGCCTATCTGAGACCCGTTCTGGGTCGACCCAACCTGAAGGCAGAGGTGCGCTGCCTGACCACCAAGATCCTGTTTGATGGCAAGCGGGCCGTGGGTGTAGAATACACACAGAAAGGACAGACGAAAAGGGTAAGATGGAGACGCTGCTGCAAAGACTTGTAATGAATTTGACATAGAGACTTCTCATAACATTTTTCTGCTTTCTCCTCAGGTTTTTGCAGATAAAGAGGTGATTATAAGCGGAGGAGCTATTAACTCTCCTCAGCTTCTGATGCTGTCTGGGGTGGGAAACGCTGATGACCTGAAACCACTCGGTGTCTCTGTGGTTCAGCACCTACCAGGTAACTGAAACAAGAAAAAAATGAAAAACTCTTCCAAAAACCTGCTTAAATTCATTTTAGGATGCAGACACATCAAATACGATACGCAGTGACAGAGTGATACACTTACCACCGGGATTCTTGTCTGTGTTGTCTTTCAGGTGTTGGCAGTAACCTGCAGGATCATTTGGAGTTGTACATTCAGCATCAGTGCACTCAGCCCATCACGTTGTACAAGGCCCAGAAACCTTTCCACATGGTCAAGATTGGCCTTGAGTGGCTCACTCGGTTCACTGGTAACCAAAGGCACCCATACTTACATGTTATAACACACACATTATCCTTCATGTTCTAATAAACACACAATCTATGTGGGGTTTTTCATTGAACCTCAATGAGTATTATCGTGGGTTATGGACAGGTTAATACAAACTCGGAAAGTTTACATTTTGATTTTTTCAAACTATTACATCTACTTTCTATTGATAACGTTATTTTAATTTATTAGCTCTAAATTAAAATTCTGGCCAGATTCCGCACATTGTACCATTTACACGCAGAATGTTCGGATCTGTTTGCCGCCTTCTGTCAGTTACTGTGACGACACCGAGTCCAACCATCTAACTTACCGAGACAACTGTCCCGTAGGTTACGGAGCGTCGTCCCACCTGGAGAGCGGCGGGTTTATCCGCAGCCGACCACACGTCCCACACCCTGACATCCAGTTTCACTTCCTGCCCTCGCAGGTCATCGACCACGGCCGGGTTGCCTCCAAGATCGAGGCGTATCAGGTATGTGTTAAGGAAAGGGTGACTGTTCTATTTGCAGGTGGACAATTTCACAGAGGCGCTTTTATTACACAAGTAGTTTTGGTTTGTCATCACATGGGTGTGTGGGTGTGTGTGTGGGAGCTGTCATGAGGGATTCATTTGATTTACAGCCATATGCGTGTCTCTGTGGGGGACTGCGTTTGTATTTTATCAACAGTGAGACAGATAGAATTCCGAAGTACTCCCCTATACTCTGAAAGCACGTCATATTCTGGAATATTTTGATATGACCCTCGCGTAACCAAAAGGAGCGTTTTTAGATGTGTGGCATTCCACAGAAAGCCTCACACAACAATAAACAGGAGCTGATAGGGAATTTCCTGAGAGGTGCGTCTGTGACATAATTCTGGATAACTTCCAGGAGGAACTTGTTATGGGTTATGTACAGTGTGAAATATGGGTTTCATTAAAGTGCTACAAAAAGCTTTGTCTTCTGTTTTTAGAGAATGGCCGGGTTTTATGAATGAGTTCATGTGTGCAGGAGCCACGAATGCCCAAAGCAATAATTCTGGAAATGCAATAAAGGGTAACTTTATCTTTTGCAACTACAAAAGAAAGTAAATAAGCTGTTTTTTAACCTAATTGTAAGCACAGTCTAAAAACATGTAACTTGACTTGTGTACTTTATTTTGCAGAATGTAACAATGTTTGAGAATGTGTTTTTTTCCGTCTTGCAGGGAAACGGTATTATAATACATGAGATAGTCTACATGAAGGAGGTCGTCCAGTAAAAATGTCTCACATAGTGTTTGTGTTTTAGGTCCATGTTGGACCGATGAGGAGCACCAGTAAGGGCTGGCTGAAGCTGAAGAGCGCCAACCCTTTGGATCACCCGATTCTCCAGCCAAACTACCTCTCCACCGGTAAGATCCAGCCTCTCGACGGTCTGCTACAAAACGGTTTTGAGAACTTCCCTGTTTCCTGAGAGCATTCTCTCTACGGGACCTGTTTGCTTCTGATTGTTGATATTTCATCCTTTGACACTTCCTTCTGATGGCTGATCTTTTTCTTGAGAGGATTGTTGTTATTTGAGATTTATAGTGTATTCATAATGATTTTGAAGTGTTGAGTGGAATGGAGCACTACTGATAACAAGCCATTTGTTTTGACGTTTCTCCTTCATCCTGTCAGACGTTGATGTGTGGGAGTTCAGGGAAAGCGTCAAACTCTCTAGAGAGATTTTTACCCAGAAGGCCTTCGACCCCTTCCGGGGTCCAGAAGTCTTGCCCGGTCCTCACGTCCAATCAGATGCCGAAATCGACGCATTTGTTCGAGAAAAAGCCGACAGCGCTTACCATCCGTCCTGCACCTGCAAGATGGGGTCGCCATCCGATCCGCTGGCTGTCGTCGATTCCAGCGCGCGCGTCCTCGGGCTCGAGAACCTGCGCGTGGTCGACGCCTCCATCATGCCCAGCATCGTCAGCGGCAACCTGAACGCCCCGACCATCATGATGGCAGAGAAGGCGGCTGACATCATCAGAAGTCGCCCGGCTCTGGTTGACCCCGGGGTTCCCGTGTACCGACCCCCGACACTCGACACGCAGCGGTGAACAGGGAGCGAGTGAAGGGTGAAAACACGTGTTGTGTTGTCTTGTTAACACACCTGATTTAGGGCTGGTCTATGTTTTTTTAATTTAAAACCATAATTGTATGTTGATTTTACCCGTTTATATGTGAAATTCAGTTTTTCAGTATTGCACTTAATGTCCTGAAGAGGAAACAGTGGAACTTTGTTTTTAATAACGATGTTACCCTTATGTAATGATTTCCATTGTAAGCTTGAAGCTAATGTGATGATTGTTAAAAATGTAGAATGTCCACCCCCCCTAAAAGCTGCGGCTGAAAGCTCCAGCTGTGTGCTGGTGCTGCAGGAGCAGTGGACTTTGCTTCAAGGCCACGGGGGAAAATAATGAAGAATTTAGTCTAAAACCTGACAGGCTGAAACGCTGTCTAAATTCCAACGAATTCTGAGTCAATGGAAAGATGTTAGCAGCAGAAGCTGTTCTAATCAGATTAAGGTCATTTAAAACAGGTTTTGTAGCAGACTCCGCAGGATAGGACTTGTACTATTAACCATTATAGCTCACAGCTTGTAGTTCAGGACGCTCTGGCAGCTGTTTAATCGTAGCAGGAGTACCAGCAAATGGTAATTGAGAATATCTGCCTAGCGTTGTGTCAAAATACTAGACACAAAAAAAGCTGTCACAGTCACTTTTATTTTTTCTTTTATTCTTTCTTTCTAATTGTATCATGGATATTCACAAATAGTACTTTGAAGAGAATCGCATATAAGTAATCGGATCAGACAGCTGAGCCTGTAAAATCATTGTGTTTTTATCTGTGTGTGAATCACTGAAGTATCTTGATGATTAGGTGCCTTTACTCAGTTCCAGCAGGACCGATGCACATACATGTTGAGCACATTTAAGAATCAGCCTCATGAACAATCTAAAGTATTAATTAATCAAAGTAACATGTCTGTATAGGTGCTAGAAGGAATACAAATTGTGTCTTACTAAACTTTGCACTACGCTATTAAGTGTCTTCACGTGAAATGCAGTGTGTGCTGTATTACATGGATCTAATGAAGGAGAAAGACTTTGTGAAAGTAGAATGATTGTGGAAGTTCATCCAGCCTCTATGTCTTAATGTTTCTACACTTAATTGTAAACAAACACTAGAAACTGTCCTGACCTCATGCCCATGACTTTATTCAGTGATCCTTATAAAATGTCTCAACAGGTTCATTGTCAAGAAATAAAATGTACAAAACAGGGATTTTGTTTTCCTTTGGTACAAAATCTATAGGGTACTAGTACTTGTGCTACAGAGTAGATACTTATATATATTTTTAATTTCCATACAACAAATGAGTAGAAAGCAGAAGTCTTTACAAACACTATACAGATTGTATACATGTTATTATTTGATAGAAATGTGTTAAGCAGTGGAACAGTAAAAGTCTTCTTTGGGTACTTGTACTGTGAACAGGCAGCAGATGATCACGGTTACTTGGCCTTTACTGACTCAAAAATAAATCTGGACTGTACAAAGTCATGCTGGTCAATCATTTCCCAGTTAAGTCAATGACATCACTGAATGAACATTTCCTTTCCCATGTGCGTTTTGATTTAGTGATCATTAGTATGTTTCTCCCACTGGAGGAAGCATTCTTTCAGGTGGTTATGCAGCAAATTGACACATTTCCGCCTGCAGCGTGGGTGTAATATGGCTTTTAAAGTACCCTTAGTCACTCTAAAGTCAGTATCATCCAAAACTACAATATGTTGTAATCATAAAAACGTAATTGTGTGACTGATTATTTTCGAACTTCACTGTCAATCATTCACCTGTCACTCATGTCACTGAGGTACTTGTATCAGACCATTTTTAAGAATTATAAATTTAGATCAATTACTGTTTAAATTAAAATGTGTCAAATGAATGCAGCTATATATATTAAAAACTTTTTCTAATAATTTTGGGGAAATACAGCCTTCGCAACAATTGCTCCGATACTGAGAAATTTGCGAAGGTAATGACATTGTTAGTTATTCTTAGATTATCACAATTTATATGCAGTTAGAAAACGCGTGAGTCATTTTTATCAGCTGTATTGGCCGCACAATCTGTGTGTCTGTATATCTGTAGAATGTGTACACGAGAAATAGTGTACTCTTCAGTAACTTACAAAAACAACGAATCTGCAATAATAATTGAATAGCGATGCAAATGCGCTTAATGATCCCTTGTTTGGGTTTTATTTTTTAAGAAGCCCTTTGATACACAAGACAAGTATTCAAATTCAGGGGGAGAAAAAGAAAAAGATTGGCTTTCCAAGTTTTGCAATAGTTGCCCCAAAGGCATTATTACAGTTGGCAGCGGTACAGAAACACAAGTTGGTGGTGGAGCAGATGTGAAGAACAGAACAGGTGAGAAATGTTGCCTCCCTTTAGTGTTTATATCTGCAGGGCTTCCAGTTTTACGTGTAAAAAGGTAACATTTCATTCCAGAAACAAAAATATACTGAATTAATAAAGAATCAGAAAAGCCACCATGTCGGTTTTGTCTTTTCAAATATACAATTTGACCTTTGTGTTGGAGACCTCTGTCATAACCTGACTCTTCATGAAACAGACACCAAGAGGCCCGAAGGAATTCCTTTCATTGCTGCTTAGCAGAAAAAACAAATTCAATGTTTTGAGATCCACAGAAAACTGAAGCAAAGCTGTTGAAAAGGCAGAGGCACACATGTCTACAGAGTGATGTCAGACAGATGTCGCAATTACTAAGAGTATAGTAGAAAAACATCTCCTTCACAGCTGTTTTTCATTCATGTTCTCAGTGTAAACACTTAAACATTTACTCACGTTGAAAATAGTTTATAGTTTTATAGTTTATAGTTTAGCTGAGAAAAGAGACTTTGAATATTTGGTAACAATGCAATGGTTTCTCCTCCCAGTCTTCAAGGGGATTTGATACAACTTGAGGAACGCTATGCAAAGAGTGACGTGGGCGTTCCGTTCTGTTGTTTCCTTTATTTTCAGGGGATTAAAAGTAACTACTTTAGGGAAAAATGGATTTCTGCTGTTTCTGCTGTTGGTGTAAAGGGGGGCGGGTATGTTTCTGTTATCAGTGTGCATGTGAGACAGAAGGATATGCCTGAGGACAAAGTCTGTTCTCGGTGATATGTGATTTCCATTTCAAGTCTAGTCCCAAAGACGAGCAACATTTAAACCTGAACCTAGAAATATAAATTATATGTAAAATAATTACACATAAAAAAATGTTGTTGTTTTTTAATCACCTTTGTGTTTTTGAGTCTGCTGCATTGAGGCCAAATTGTAATGTAAATAATGAAAATCATACATTTTACATATGTACATGAGATAAAACTCCAACAGAATACAGGGAACCTTGGAATCATCGGGTCACCAAAGACATTTTGCAGAACGACAAATGCCGCTCGTTCAGACAGCGGGGGGGAGGTGGGGTGGGGGGGGTGGGGTTCAGAACTTTGTTCAACTCTCGGCCTTCAAAGTTTAGTCAGAGAAAGCAGAAGTAAAACTGGGAAACAATTATACTCGATACGGATGCAAAAACCCTCATAAATTATTAAATTATTAAAGCCATCAAGGTTGTGGTTTTTTAGTCAAAATAATAAATTATATATATATATGAACCATGCCAGTATTTTACCAAACTGCCCGGCATTCGGCAGCTGGCGGCTGGCTTCGCGGGGCTAGCAGCTTATTTCGTTAATGAAGGGAATAAAAAAACACCCTTTGGGTGGGGGAGGTGTCCTGAACCCCTGCTAAATGACAGGCAGGCTGGTCTCAACATTTGCTGAATTTATCTCAGCACTTTTGTATTTCCTCCATTCCAATTCTGCACAGAAAGAGAAAACAAGGCACTTTGCTCTCTTGTCCGTCCGTCCGTGTTCCACATGTTCTGTCTACTGCAGGACGCTCCTGAGCGGGGACGACCCCTCGCGGTGGAATAGCAGAGTAGAAATTCAATTGAAAAAAACTAAAGGATCCCGCGTGAGCCGCTGCTATAGCGACGTGATGCATATCATCTCGTCTGCGAGGTCCTCCTCGCATTTCAGAGTCACGTAGGGCTCTTCGTCGCTGTAGTCGCGGATACTGCGGTCCCTAACGAGCGCGGGGGCACGCGGGTCCGAGCCGGCGCCGCCCGCCGCCCCGGCGTTGCCGTTATCCAGGCTCCCGTTCAGCAGGTTGCTGGCGGCGCTCTCCATCTCATCAATGGTCATCTCGCAGGCGTCTGCGATTTCGTTTTTGGTCGCCGTCACAAATTTGGGGTCCCTGGCGTATTTCCCCAGACCCTCAGAGATCAACACCTGAGGTCAAGGGACACAGAACCAGAGCACAGGAGAGAACTTCAGCTTGATTTGATGTTTTGGTGGCCGACTGAGGAACATCTGGATGCACTTTCATGCTATGTGGTCTTCAAGGAGGCGTCCAAAAACCTCCTAGCGTCCTCATGGGGGTCTCAGGTGCATAGAAGATATGATCTCATTGTAGCATATTCGGTTTAAAGACTACGTTGTTGGTCTGATGGTTGATATTATGATGAAGTTCAGACTGTATATTCTAATAAATGTAATAATAAAATCTAGATCTCACAGATGAAAGGTGGAGATGTTTGGTACTCACAGCCTCCACCACGCTGTTGGCGCTGCCTCTCTTCTGCAGTACGTGTGGGCAGCCGTCAGCAGGCAGCTTCAGATGTGACGGAGAGAGGCTGAGGGGCCCGTCTGAATACCAGGAACTCCTCTTCACCGCTCCGGGGACGCTGCAGACGCTGCCGGGGCTGCGCCAGTCCACCTGAGTGTACACACACACACACACACACACACACACACAGGCGATTTGTAACTTGTTTCGTCAAAAGACACAGATCGAGATTCTTCTTTTATTTAAAACAGGAAAATTATGAAGAATTGTAATAAATCTGTATTTCTTCTGTGTCCTTTACGTCTAGCTTTTTTTTCTTGTTTTATATTACTGAACGAGTTTCGTCCATTAACAAGAGAATAGCAGGCGAGTCTCTCACAGTGAACCGCACCTGTATGAGCGGCGTGTAGGAGGGGGAGCTGTCGCGGGCGATGGGAGAGGCGGGGGGCGTGACCCAGGAGCGGAGCGACCGCGTGGGAGACAAGCGGTGAATTCTGCTCGCGTCGAAACCAGCCACCGCCATCACCTGAGCATCAGTCGCAGCAGACACAGGCCTTTGTAAACATTTCGTTACTGTCATTCATCACTACAGTGTCATGCGGGCGTGTGGGGGCACCTGCTGCTGCACCAGGTGTAGCGGAAGAGCTGTGCAGGATGGTGACAGAGGGGCGTCATCCTGACTACTTCTTCTGCGAAGACACTCAAAATTGAACGTCGACCTGCTGGAAGCTGAGAAAACAAACATGAACCGAGAATATTCAAGCTCCGGATTCCGACTCATACAGCAAATCAAAAAGTGAAAACGGGCCGATAACAAAAAAAAGCTCAATTCAAGCACACACAAAAGAATTACATAATAAATTCATAATTACACACAACAATCAAATTGACCTTTTCCTTACACTTACTATCACAATGAACTGTATTTAACAACAATCTTGAAGGAACACCAACAAAAGTTAAATCCGAATGACGTATAAAGTTGTTGTGCTTTCAAACTGATTGTTGTCGGATCTCAATCCCTCAACAAACAAACTACTGAACCGCAGTGTTGATCTGTGGAGCGTCACCTTGCGGCGAAGGTAGAAGCCACCTCCTGGGAGACCGGCTGCCAACCCGGCAGATCGGCTGCTGGTCATCGTCATAGTAACCGTCAAGCCGGCGGTCGCTCCTGGAAACCCCGAGGTCAAAGTCTCTGTGAAACGAGTGAATGAAATAGGTTTGTGAAGTGATGAGTTTTGGCTAAAACACGTGTTTTTATTATCATAAAAAGTAAAAAACAGAGCATCTGATACATTTGTCATGTTATTACTGGTGAGCATGTACTCGGTATCAATTCTCACAGTACCGTTCGTGTGTCAGCATGACGTCGTCTTCGTGAAACTCCTCCCCACTGAAGTACTCCCCCGAGCCTCGCCCGTCATCGCTGTCTCCGTCCCCCGGCTCCTCTTGACGGATGGTGGAACGGAGCCCATCGCCGCTTTCTGACCTTGCAACGTGGCGTCGAAGACGATTAGGGCAGATTTGACACTTGGCAACATGTACATTCATGCTTTAAAACCCACGAGGCCTCAGAGATGAATTTCCCAGCAGCGCTTATCAATTCCAATTCCGTGCCAAAAAATGATATTAGAAGGGCCGATGACGTCATGCACATACCTAATGTAGGCCTCGTAGTACCGTGTCCTGCTCCGAGAGGAGGGAGCGGTCAGTCACACAGACAGGAGTATTTGCAACAGGATATCAGGAAGGGAAAGAAGTCACATGCAACGACACAGACAAGAGGACAAAAATTAAACAAACATTTGAACCTGCACAATAATTGTTTTTTGTTGTATTGTTAGTCAGGCCGATACTGAATCGGCTCCTGTATGCGATTCCACAGACCGACTCGTGACCACATTTATTTAGCCATTATTTCCTGTAACCGTAAATATAATCATGGCCACAACTAACTATGTCAGATAGAATTCCAAAAGACACACCTCTCCAGACTCTACCTCGACTAAAAGACTAACAAATTGTAGCACTTAAATTGTACTTGTAACGCCACTCATCTATAGCAAATTGTAAATTGGCTTATTTGAGGATATTGCGAATTGCAATGAACGCGATGAACATACTGGTGCTCCTGCCCGGGTGACAAACGAACGCGTACGAACTCGTTTCCCACTGACCTCGAGGAGTGAGACTTCCGCAGCTTGTCGCGTACTCCTTTGCTGGAAGACCCGTTTTTGGTGGAGGAGGGACGGTCTCTCCTCAACAAGCACTTCTGCAGCCTCCCATTGGTCACGGAGAGCAGCGAGGGCACGTTGGCGTTGTTGAGGTTGGCATTGGAGGGGATCGCGCGGGGATCGTGAGCGGTGTGATAATGGTGGTTGTACTGGACGGGGGAAGAGTTCGTCTCTCCTCCTCGCTCGGCGTCTTTGGCTCTGCTGCCCGTCCGGGTGGGTTCGGTGGAGGCGCTGCAGGAGGACGGCAGGATCTGAAGCGGCCGCTGGGTGACGGTGGTCGGGTGGGAGCAGCCCTGCTGATCGCCGCTGACATGGTTTCCAAAAAGGCTGCCGTTACGCTGCAGGGAGACGGCAGAAGCCCACCAGATTAGAAACGATAGTGAGGTGTTTCCATTTCAACCCACAAATGAAAAATGTTTAAAATCAGTGTATCCGTTCGTCTGTCAGGGTTACGATGATTTAACGCTTATTAAATACCTCAAACACTGTGGGGAGATATAATTAACAAATGATTTCTGCCATTGGATTCAAGCCCAGCTCTTCATCTATGGTTTACGTTTGTTACACATCAGAGCGTGTAGTTGATTATTGCCGTGTACAATACATTACAGTGGCTGACCAAGATGTAGATGTAGGGTGTAAAGGACGCAGCATCGAAAAGGACAGCTCTCACCCCAGCCACAGACTGTTTGCCCTCCTCCCCTCCGGGAGGCGCTACAGGGTGCTCCGTTCCCGGACCAGCAGGTTCAGGAACAGCTTCATCCCTGCGGCTGTCATTTTACTGAACTCTGCCCCCCCTGAACTCTGCCCCCCACACACACACATCTCCCTCAGTGACTGTACTTCCCCCCTCCACCCTGGCTTGACTGCCACACACCTTCCTCCAGCCACTGAACATTTGCACTGCATATCCATTTCTTACTGTTCATATTGCACAACTATTTCTTACTGTACATATCTATTTATTCACTTATTACACTTTACATATGCACATACTCTTTTTGCTATTTTGCACTCTGGTTGGATGTTAAACTGCATTTCGTTGCCTCAGTACTTGTACCCTGTGCAATGACAATAAAGTTGGATCTAATCTAATCTAATGTATCTCATATCTGAAGGTGTGTCGTTCTTTTATGCCTGATCTTCACTCCTTCACTTTGTGTCCCTCTATCAAAAATAGGACAAATTGTACTAAAGAATCACAAAGGACGGTGTGATGAGTAAGCAATATAACACTACACACGGCTGTTAATTCATTAGCACATCTTTAAGTAACATATTGAGCTTATGCTCTTCTTCACACTTGTATGTAGTAAACTTCCTCGGCCATCTCAATCTCCGTCAACGGAAACCTCTCTTTGAAGAATGGAATTCGAAGGGAAAAAAGGGTTTTAATTGTCTTTTTGGGGGGGAAATGTGTCCCTTTCTGATAACAGCAACTCAATGTCTAAAGCGGATCTTAAGGGATGTTTACCCTGTAGATATCCTCTTCTTCCTCGCCATTGTCATCTACTAGCCCCGCCTCCTGCAGGTCACATGATATGGCTCGACGGATCTCCGGTCCGATGTCATGCAGCGTGCGCAGGCCGGCCTGCAGAGAGAGCAGCTAGAATGTCACCTCTTCTCTTGTAGGCGCCGGCATGTCTCTGTCCAGACATTAACATAATCATAAAAGTGATAACGGCGTAATTCATAAAAGCTGATAACATTGTAATGGCAGAAATCTCATATTTTTTATTGTTTTTTAGCTTTGTGGACCATAAAAGTGGGACAACCACACTAACTTTTAAATTGTCCTCGCAGCCAAACATGACGTCCGACTTACTGTGGTTTCCATCATGGATGTTTACTCTGTATGATTCATTGCGCCTCACTCACCTGTAGAGCCATGGTTGTGTTCAGCCTCTCCCACGAGCGCATCCCTACAAGACCTTGCTCTTTGCGCCTCTTGAACTTCCTGAAGTAGTCCTGTATCAGGAAGGTGGCATAGAACTTCCCCACTGTTACCTCGTCATCTGAGTGAACAGACCAGACACACCAAAGCCTCCCAGATCAGCACCGGAATACTGAAACACCTCAACACTCTTTACATCCATTGACACATCTCATTTAAAGCCCCTCAATAGAGATCTTCTTCACCACTACCGCACTAAGGGAGGGACGGGACACACCTCGGCAGTAAAGTCAAATTCCATTAACAGTAATATATCACAACAATGAAGCCCCGCTGCTGCAGGGGGCTTTATACAAAGATAATGTAAGATAATACAATGCAAGTACTTCTGCAACAATCAACATGAATGAAGACTAATAACATGTGAAACTCTCGCTGCAGGGCATTATAGTACCGTCCAATTTCAAGGGGAAAATGTAATTTTCACACGCAAATGTGTGCAGCACGTTTCAACCCGATTGCAGATTATCTGTGGCTCCAGTTTCCATCTATGACAAACTGCATGTGGTTGTGAAACACTCAACTTACACAGAAAAACCCCCACATACTCATATTCAGATGCTCATGCAAGCCATTGCAACATGCCGATTTCTTCACGTAACAAAATCAGACTTTAGTTGTTTATGAGTTTATAACACAGCTGTTTATGACTGCAAGTCTAACCAGTCGCTTCCACAACACACACCAGCACTCTAGCATACGGGGACTGCAGGATCTATTCAACGTCCACCACTTCTGGTACGGACGCGCGGAGGTGTTTTATATCTCTATGTCCCAGGAAGACAATGTGATCTGAAGCAAGAAGCGCATGCGAAAAGCCGGGCAAAAGAGAAATAGTCAGGGTCGTATGTGCGGCTCCCCTCGAGGGCGAACACAGAAACAACGCATAGCAGGAAGCTGTGACTAAAGACTCATAGGGAGGCTAATGAAGCGTGGGCCTGATTCACTCAGATAAGGTTGCTTAAGCAGGACGGGGAGAGACTAAAGAGAAGCAGAAACTCGGGGCGGAGGAAATGTGGTTTGAAAAAAAGAAGTACCATCATCACTTTTCCTAGACCCCTTTGCGCCATTAGAGGAATCTAGTAAAGGTGACAGATACGACATGATGGATGCTTTACGATGGAAGCAGCGTGCCATCGGGATTTGGAGATCCATCTTAAAGCAGCCGACACATTTCTCCACAGCATCCGACGCAGCCAGAGAGGAACTAGCGGCTCTGTTCAGAGAGAGAACCTGCGAATGTTTATGGTCGCTAAAAATCTGGGTTTCTTTCTGAGCTAAAATGTCACATGAGGACGTGTCAACGTGTGGGCCAATTGTTTATCAGAACAATCATATTTTCCTCAGTTAAGTTTGGATTTCCCTGATTTTGTTTTTGCCAGCAAACATCGTTATGATATATTTTCCCTAAATACAAATAGCTGAGTTGATCCAAGTGTTTTTTTAGAAATGTGTTTACTCATTTTTCTTTATCGTCCATCAGCTTGGCGGGGGAAGATCAATTCACCATACTTATTGTGCCCACGTGCCGGTCGCAGCTGGTTCTCTTCCTGGACAGAGTCTGATAAAGTTCTTAGAAAGGAGGTATCAGTAGTTTCATGCCACCGGACTAAAACAGAACTGCCACAGACAGTTAGGACGGCAGAAAGAGAAGAGAAGAAGGCCGGCGACCGACTGAGCGCTCTACTGAAAGCAGAAGAAGCTGTGGAAGAGACAGCCTGGGCAGGAAAGCTCGACATAAAGGAGAAGAGGAGTTAGCAGATGAACACACACAACGACATGCTGTTGCAAGTCAGAGAGCTTGTGAGCATCGGACACAAGCAGAGGACCGGCATGAACATGCTGCACTGCACTGCTTCACTCGCGTTTCAATGAATTCATTGTGTAAAACTACCACACATGTCTCATCTAAAGCAGAGTTAAGGGTGAAAATCTAGCTTGGCAGAAACTATCCGATAAAGATGATTAGGAGTGTGACAGGATTTCGGCTTTATTTATTAAGCAGTGTGCTTAATAAGGAGTTGGGTATGTATTTATCATTTTAGCTCATTTTATTTTGTATTATTTGTTATGGCAGTCATCTTCTATTCCTCAAGTGCCTCAAAATAATGCTGACGGGACAAAGTGAGGATGGGGATTCGAAGTGAGTTATTTGAGCTGGGCTTTTATTTGGAAACACATTGTGCTTGGCCATCGGTAGCTGATGCATGCAAATAAAATGGTTCACAAAGGAAACGTACAGTTCACTTGCATGCAGAACCACCAGAATGAGATGAATGATAAACCAAACTTTTTTACAGGCAATTACGACAGAGACTGCAGTTAAACTGTAACCTGGCGGATGGCAATAAGATGAGTTTCTGTGAAATGCTGCACTATCTTGGTTTTGGTTTGCAAGTTGGCCTCACTGCAGCATGTTAGCAAAAACAGGATGCGCATCACCCTTTTTTTTGTAAAATCCCTTTCACAACAAAAAGCTCCTTTTGTTGAAAACAGAATACCCATAATAACTGAAATACAGATTAAGGATGCAGTTTAACTTTAAATATCTTTTTATCACACCAAAATGTTTTTGAAATGAATTTTTTACTCTTGCAGTTTCCAATCGTAACAAGCGGAGGCTGCACAGTCTGCACAACAAACATCATTCTGCCAAGGAAACGCATGTAAATAGTTTTGACTTCCTTTTCTAAATTCAAATTTTGGGAATAGTACATATGCATTCAAATACATTTGCATTAGTTGGTACCCTTTTTTTGTTCTATGAATACTCTGACGTAGGATTTCCAGGACATTTAGTGGTCATTATTTAATTCTCGGTAAAATACAAATGAGGAGCAGAGTGTATTCAAATCGGCGGAGAGAAAGAAAGGTACAGAAGAAGAGAGGGAGGTAGTGAGGTCTCTGTAAAGCAAATCACTGTTAATAAACAGTGTTGACCACGTGCAAACGTGTGTGTGTAGTGACTACTGACCGCCTGCAGGGGGCACCACCTGGTCCAGCAGCTTCATGCTTGTCCTCTTCCAAATCTTCTTAATCACAGCTCGAAGCTCCTCATTGGCTTGTTCCAGATTACCTTCCACATGAAAGAAAAAGTGTTTAACTGAACCAAGTCACTTTGGTTAAACACAACAACTCACTGATCAATACGCTGATTTTTTTTCATATTAACGAGTATCTGGCTGAAAGTAACAAGTTATCAGAATGATTATTTTCTCTCTCAAACACACGAAGATCACAACACAAAATGTAACATTTGAAATTGCAGTGAATCCACCACATTCCCCACGTTAACCCGTGACAAACGTGGGGAAATCGTGGCGATTTAAATGTTGGGAGCACTGCAGGCCATGTAGGAAACACTCATATTAAACACCTACGGCTCCCTCTTGTGGCACAATGTTGAGCTGGACGACACCAATTCAGTGAAAAAAGGAATAGTATAAAAGTCAAAGATGCAAAGTGTCGACTCACCCTCAGTCTTAATCTTGAGAGCAGTGCGGACCAGAGCGAACAAGGTGGCATTAAACATGACAGTCCCGTCGCTGTTGAGGGGCATGTTCATTGCCACCAGACGCTGCAACAGAAGTACAGATTATGAAGGATCCATAAAAAAGAAAGAAAAAGCTATGAATTGATATGTTAATGATGTATGATTTTGCCAACCTCAACACTCCCTACATGCATTTCTCTATCTATATCTACAGAGGCGTGCGTGGGTCGTGTTGAAACCCACCTTACAGGCCACCCTGTGAGGGCAGAGCTTGCCAAAGCCCAGCGGGGGCTGGATCCTCCTCAGCAGAGTCACCACATCCAGATGCTTTATCCGGCCTCTGACAACCAGATGAATCGATATTAAAGGCCCTCAGATGGTACGGCTGATGCCAACAATCAACATCTCATGTGCACTGACACAAATAGTCCTTAGCTGTAACGTAGAGGATTCGGCATAGGAACAACTCTGTGGATGGTTCCCTTCAAATGGACCTACTGGGTACTCACTTGGCTTCAGGGTCGTATTCGGACCAGATCCTTTTAAACTCATCCAGGTGATGCGGACCAAGAATGGACCAATCCCGGGTGAGATAGTCAAAGTTGTCCATGATGACAGCGACAAACAGGTTAATGATCTGAAACCGGGCGATGCAGTTATTTGATTTGATATTACACACAAAGGTGTACAAGTCTTTGCTGAAACGTTACTGCTGCTGCACGAGGGGAAATGATTACCAGGAAAGCGCAGAGCATGTAGAAGCTGATGAAGTAGATAATGGCGAAGCCGCTGCCGCAGGTTCTCTCCTCTCCGGGGTTGTAGTCCGACTCTGGATCGCACAGCTTCCCTGGCAGACAGGCCAGCATGATCTCCTGCCAGGCTTCACCTGTGGCACACCTGACGTTCACACAGGAGCAGGGTGAGCCGTCTCCCCTCATGGATTCCTGCATTTGTGATCACTCCCAATGGCTGCTAATCAAACAATGCAAGCTAGACAAACACCTGAAGAGCATCAGGACTGCTTGAGGAAAAGTCTGAAAGTTGTTGTTGCGGTTGATTTGAGTTCCGTCCACCATGGCTATTTTGCCGAACACCTAGAAAAGATGAAGAAACATCAGCAAACGTTCTAGACGAACGAGACGGGCACTCAGAGACCATCGCGAAAATAATTCCTTATTTTGCAAAATCCAGCCTGTGACTCAGATCCACTTCAACATATAATGTGTTCCTTGTGTTCGGCTGTTAAACAGGTTACATTACCTGCATGCCAATTACAGCATAGATGAAGAACAGCATGGCTATCAGGAGTGCAACATAGGGAAGAGCCTGGGGGGCAAAAATATGAGAAAAGACACTGGTGTTTACAGTTAGAGCTCTCACCTAACGTGTGATAAAAGGTGTTTTCTCTCTTTGCATTGGTCCGTCACGCTGCACATTCATGTCACAGACCTACCTGGAAAGACTTGATGAAGGTCCACAGCAGAGTCCGGATGCCCTCCCCCCTGCTCAGAAGTTTGACCAATCGCATTACTCTGAACAGGCGGAAAAAGGTGATGGAGATGCGAGCGCTGTCCTCCGTGTTCTGCAGAGGAGGACGTACAGAGTGATGGAGGCGTGATGCGACTGATGGAGCAGTAACCAAACACCGACAGAGACGAAGGGCTGTTCTACTCATGTGTTCATGCACTCGGTTATGGATGCATTCGTTCAATCTTCATGTGGGAGTTGCACTAGATTACCAACCACCTGTAGACGAAAATATGTCTTGACATCTGTGATATTTTTGCGTCTTTGCAAAGACTACATGCATGCAGAGGAACTGTTTTACACACAACGCCGTGACCGTGATCAGGACTTACACACAGTAACTCTGGATAACTGATTGAAAACAGGCAACACACACAATCTGCAGTCCAAAGGCAAACAAACCAAATGACAAACTGTACGTATTTAGAATTGATGAACATTAAAATGGACCGATGTTGAAATGCAATAACACAAGACGAGAAACGTAAACTCCACACTGAACAAGACAAAAGATCATACTGTGTTTTGTGTCAGTGTCAGTGTCATGCACCCAGATAGGTCTCAAAAAGAAAGAAAGGTCAGTTTAACCACAAAACTAGAGCCAAAATGCTACAAACCAGGCGGAACAAGACTTTGACAAACATGGAGAGTTCAGTCACAAACCATCACAAGTTGCATAATGGAGGCCGTCTCAATGTTTTCATCAGTAAGTGAGCGACAGAGAGTGAAAATAAAAAGATCTTGATGCCGAGTGATCACAGAAGGGCGACGTGCTGCGATCATTTCCTTACCCCGGGCTCCACTATCACCTTGACGACGGGAATCGCTGCTGACTTGAAACCAAAAGCCTCAAGTTAATCCGAGATACATAAACCGGCTGAACATCACAATAAAGCTCACCAGTCATCATGACTCCTTTGATCTAGTCAACATGCAATTCCCTTAAAATTGCTTCACTTATAAACAACAAGACAGTATTACAATTTATACCAAAAACAAGAACATCATCATTTGAAAGCCCGTCATGCAAAAGCCTTGCCCCATAATCCAAACAACAACAACAACAACAGACGTAAGATGCAAGCATTCAGTGCTGAAGGAGAATGTGTTCTTCACCAAAACACTAAACAGTCCAGCTGTTGACATTGCCAATAAGAAGAAAGCACTGATATTAAAGGAAAATGCTGACATTGTTTGTCGTTCTTTCTTTTTCTTTATCATCACTACTGTCCACACATTCTCCAAAAATGTATAAATAATTTATAACTTATAAAGTTGTAATTCACGGCAGGTATAATAACATAATTCCACTGTCTAAAACATGTGATCTTTCTATATTGAGCCTAACTTAGATGAACTGTTAGTTTACATTGAAATACTACATTATTTTGAGGATTTTCTTTGAGGTCCAGACCAACCAAACAGACATTAAACAGACTGGTGGCGGCACGTGTTGCTTGTGTCTTTGCCAAAGTGGCACTTGAACACACCGCGCAGACTACAGCCAATGGCCAACTAGGACGTAGGTGTGAGTGGAAACAAGGGAAATAAGGGAAAAACCACAAAACCAGGACTGCAGGTAGTCAGGACATTATTGTAATACTTTAGCAAACAGAGCAGTATTTTTCCTCCCATTTTCACTAAACCCTCGCTCACCACCTGGCTTCATTCCTGATGCCACGTAGTGGTGAAAATACGAATGCGGAATGACCCGATGAGATCAGGGTAAATAAGATGATAATAATTATTATTTATTTAGCGCAGCCATGAACTGTGACGATGACGACAAGCTGTTCCTGTACTCCGGTACTCACTCACAGGCTGCTCTTGTCAAGGTACCATCTAAAGCGCCACCTGCACCCTGTTCCTCCAGGGGACAGGGCCTTCTCGAGGACGTTTATCACCGGTGAACACCAGAGTTGGACAGTGAGTGACCTCAGCAGGACCCCAATGTATTTCTCGGCAAGTATCACAGCAGTAGCCCGCGACCTCATAGCACTTCATTTCTCATTTCTATAAGTAATAATTATCACAACATCTCGGGAGCACATCCACTGTAGCACTAAATACGCTTTTGTTTAATTGTTTAAAAAGGACGCATTCGCTTTGTGCGTGAAGATACATTTTAAGGAAAACTAAAGGAAATCATGGTCGTTACTGTTAAAAGATTGACAGCACACTTGTATTTTCCCTCAACTACACGGCATAAACTGAAGTGCCGTGCACTTGTTCTCCTTCCGGCCTTCTGTTTCTGCAGAATGTATTTTACAGCTTACATCATATGCTGGAGCTTTGATCGTTGAATGTGTACAGCGAGTTCCCGACCTCAAACATTCATTTAAAGCAAGAGACTCAGAGGGCAAACAAACACATTCATTCAGTGTGCAGTCTGCAGAATGGTCTTTGAGTAGGAGGACAGCCTATTCAAAGGAGTTGCAAGGAAAAACTGTAGGGCACAAAATGATAACATCAGCTTTCTAAATGATAACTGAGCTGCATTCAAAATCAAAAAGGCTTTTCTGCTGTTTCACTAATTATTTTAGGAATAAAATTGGGCTAGAGTTAATGATACATCTTATGATTTGTTTGATTAATAATTTTGATTAATATATGCATAATACAAATGTTGAAATAGGATCCATCTACTGTATGTTTATAACCTGTAGTTGTTATTTACACCAAAAGGTGACACATCACAGGGCATTACTTCTGTTTAATGTGCACAGGCCGTCATGCTTCTCATAATAAACTCAAACTATCGTTAAGCAACTTCACTAGATTTTTACAGGATCTTGAGATTCAGATTTTGCGAAGAAAGATAATTTTGGTCTTGAATGCAACTCTAATGAGCATGATAGTAACTAATAAGACAGGCTTTTATGTGCTATAAATGGCTACTTACATTAACCTCAGTGATGGCAATGTCAACCACGCTACCCACAACAATTAAGGCATCAAACGTGTTCCATGCATCAGCAAAATAGTTCTGCAAGCACAAGCGACAAAGACACAGAAAAGAAGAGAGTAAGGAAGGAAAAGAAATACAGATTATGAGAGATAGAGAACATCAAAAAGTTGTGATTACATCAAGAGTGACGTTAAAAGTCAAATCCTTCCTGCAACTGAGTCTGTGAGAGTATCAACTGGTTTAATTTATCCAAATAATCTTTGAAAAATTAGCTATTCTCTATTATTAATGACCTATTTATCATTAATCTACCATTTCAAAACCTTATTATGTACTCTCACTGATGCAGTTGCAGGCTTGAATAAATGCCCACCATAGACTTAAAACAATTGATCAAGATGCAATGGGTAAGAAGCAAGGGTTTCATCTCATGTGTTGGCATTTACCACACGGGTAGCTGATGGACCGCGTGTATTTTGTCTATGGTGCTCATCAACCATTTAGCCCACAACAGATTTCACAGACCTGCGTCAAGAGCAGCACTTGTCTTACCGCTAACCCTAAAAGAAAACGTAAAAATCTGAGCGGAAGGCCGGCAAGGAAGAAAGCTGTGACGGGGCAGAGACGACTAGAGCAGCGGCGGTGGGAGGGCGGGAGGAGGGAATGACAGGGACATACTGACGTCTTTCTACCTGGCTGAGTATGATGTCGACTACACTGCCAATCACGACCAGGGCATCGAAGACGTTCCAGGCGTCTCCAACATAGCCCTGATTATGGCAGCATGCACAGCCAGCAGGAGGAGAGGGGGAGGCAGGAGGAGAGGGGGGATGCAGGAGAGTAGGAGGGGAAGAGAGGTGGACAGAGGGGAGTAATGGAAGGGGATGAAGAGGAATAAATGGAGTCATAGCCAGGAGAAGAGTTTATGAGGGATTTTTTTTACGGCTGAAACACAAAGGGAGATCTAAAAGGGAAAACTACGGTAGGTTTTGCTTCTCTGTACAGGTGGGAGGAGAGGAGACTTACTCTGGGTTTGAAGGCAATGAGCTTGAGGATCATCTCCACAGTGAAAACCCCGGTGAAGACCATGTTGAGGATGTCCATGGCATAGTTAAACAGATGAGACTGACCGTGGTGCTGCAAAAGAGACGGCCGCATAGACGGATAAGAGATATAAAACAACACCACATGGACTTTATTTAAAGGTGTCAGAATACAGAAATCACCGCACGCTTTGTGTTGGCTTGAGATTCAACAGTATATTATATACTTCTATATATGGAAGAAGGGTCAAGACGACCATTGCTACAAACAAAACGATCCTGCAGCATGGCAGAAATTCCAACTAAACTAAACTTTAACGTTCCCAGACACATGCACTCACCTGAATGGCCAGACACAAGGTGTTGAGGATGATCAGTACGAACATGACGTACTCAAAACCAGTAGAGTTGACCACATACCAGAACTTGTACTGGTAAGGGTTTTTGGGGATGTAGCGGCGCAGAGGACGAGCTTTAAGAGCATATTCCACACACTGCCGCTGCGGTGGTGGAGCGAGGGAAGAATAGACAAGAAGACTCATCATCAAGAGAAACACAGCTGTTTCATGTGAACACAGACATATATAAATAATTAAATTAGAGAGTAAATGAACAAGTGTTGCTGGACATTTGCAGGGAAATGCACACAAAAGTAGGATACATTTATCACGAAAACTGTCGTATGAGGACACAATGCAATGACACATAATACATTTTTCCCACAAAACGTAAAATGCTCAAAATAAGGAAACACAAACACACAAATATCAAAGCTCCCTCTTACCTGGTTCTTGTCCAGCTCACAGTTCTGGTACTCCTTCTCCCCCTGCTCCTGAAAGGTGACGATGACGAAACCGACGAAGATGTTCATCATGAAGAAGGCAATGATGATAATGTAGATGATGAAGAAGATGGAGATCTCGATGCGGTAGTTGTAGATGGGACCCATGTTCTCCCTGTTGGAGTCGATGGCCTTGTAGAGCAGACTGCATGGACCAACAAAGCACACGGACAAAAAAAGAGGTCATTAACAGCAATTAGTGATACAGACACGAGCTTCGGGCCACAGCCGTGCTTACGTGGGCCACCCCTCGAATGTGGAGACGGTGAAAAGAGCCATCATGGCCATGAGGACGTTGTCAAAGTTGAAGTCACTGTTGTACCAGATCCTCTCTTTCACCATGGGCAGCGCTGTGTCCCCGTTGTTGTAGAGAATGTAGGTACCTCTGTGATTTAGAGATGAACCATCAGCCACATGTAACTGCACAACAACATACACATGCATACATACACTGCTGCAGGCAAGTGTAATACAATAAATCAATACAAATAAAATTCACCCACTTGCACTCATCTGGACTGGACTTGGCGTCATCCGTGCAGCGATAGAATTTCCCCTAAGACAACAGAGAAAGCCAGAACCTGCTATTTCTGTTCAACCAATATTATGTAATATTTCTATACTGGCGCAGCCGGCTGGTTGTGACCCATTAACGTCGATCTCTCCTTTCAATTCTTTTTATGCTTCACCTTGAAGAGCTGCACTCCGATACAAGCGAACATGAACTGCAGCAGCGTGGTGACGATCATGATGTTGCCGATGGTCCTGATGGCAACAAACACACACTGGACCACATGCTGCAAAAAAGACACACACACACACACACACTGTCAGTAGGGCTACACGGCGCTGTAGCATAAGTAAAGGTGCATGCATTGACAATAATAGCAGACGCACGCCTCCAGATGCACCTTGCACTGTGTTGTGCTATTGTCATTCTGACCTTAAGTCCTTTGGCTCTGTTGATGGCCCTGAGCGGGCGCAGGACTCTCAGAACACGCAGGATTTTCACCACTGAAATAGCAGAGGACCTGAGGAAGACAGGTGAATGACACGTTCTCACAGAGGCATTCCCTTCAGATTTATATGTAAAGTGCTCAATGAGAGGTGTCAACATTAAAAAAAAGGGTGAAAAAATGATACATACTGGATGCCAAAGGAGACCAGAGACACACCAACCACCAGCAGGTCTAAAAGGTTGAAGTAGTTTCTGCAAAATGCCCCTTTGTGAAGGAAGGCTCCAAACGCTGTCATCTGGACAGAAGAAAGCCACAGTCAACACTAAAGAAGACGGACAAACCGTCATGCAGCTTTAAATTAGGCTGAAATCGAATTAAAATGACTGTTGATACTATTTAAATGTGTCAATTTTCCAAAGAACATTCCAAAGCATTGCCTTGCATTCACATTCATTGTGTTATGTTGGGGTTATGTTATTTGGGAAAGCACACAAAAAACTGAAAATAAAAGTGAAAATAGTTTCAAGCAATATGTTTTTTACGTTTCAATATTTCAAAATGAATAAATATTAGATATATTTTTTCAAATCTTGCAACAAACCAATAAATTGATATGGTAAACCTGGATTTGCACTCATAAACGCTTTAAAACAGTGTAGTCAGAGACAGTCTCATTACACACACACACACACACACACACACAAATCAAAGACACAGATCATGCAGTACGTGATGCAAAGTGGTCACACAAGACACAGGGAACATTAATCAAAAGCTACTACACTCATTTCCAGGGCAGATTAAGCGAGGGACAAGGATTTTAATCCTCCCCTGATCGATTTTTAAGCTTAAGCCATAATACAGAAGATTGTTTCTGCCCCTCCACACCGGATCAGTTATGAGCAAAGGGTAAAGGCAGAGGATTTACATCTGACAGAAAAAAGAATAATAATCTTCTGGATTTTGTGGATTTTCTTCAATTCCTTTTGATGTTTCCGAGTTAGTCAAAAAATACATGAAAAGGTGTGCACAGCTGTGTGTACAGTGTGCAGTCATGCACAAGTTCAGTTCCTTTCTCCACAGTTCAGAATATTTCAAATCTACCTGAATAGACGAATATCAACAAATATTTTAAGCATACGAGTTGGTGAAGGCTTTCATACTGCTACCAATCAAAGTGCAACTCAAGTATATTATTTGTATTCTTCAGACGACTAAAAAGAATAACACAAAGAACTGGGATTCGAGCCAAACAGGTAATTGTAGTCTGGTCCATGAACTGTTGCAGTGTGAAGAAAGTGCAATGAAAGAAGCGACAGACAAGAATGTCTGACCGAAAACGAACAACCTGCATGCTCACGGACTGGCGCCATGACAACAAGTCGCCCGTTTCAACCAAAAATGACGGAGACAAACATGAGGGGAATGAAGAGAACGTGCACGCTGCACAGCATGCTTGGAGGTGATTGGTGGTTGCTGAGGCGGCGCCATAGTTTAAAAACTTTACCTTAATAAGGATCTCAAATGTAAAAATACTAGTGAAGACATAGTCTGCATAGCCTAGGATCTGAGGAGGCAATCAGAGGGACATAAGCACGCAGGGTTACTCAAGCTCTACTCAGCACAGCACAACACAGCAAAAGAGCTCATTTACCTTGAACAGGATCTCAACAGTAAAGATTGCGGTGAAAGCATAGTCAAAATAACCAAGTATCTGCAAGAGGCAATGCACAAGTTCAAGTCATCAAGTAGAGAAAAATAGTACAATATCCCATGGTTATATGTGTATATATATACACACACACACAATTAGAGTAAAACTACTTTTAGTATTAAAGCTGCACTATTCTGATCCAGTTTAAAATACACAATCATACCAAGAAAATGACTGTTGGTGACATGTGTTGGTTATTATACCGAATCTCTAAATCATGCCCGTTCTTATGTTGCAAATGTCCGGTATATAGTCTCATGGTTTTTGCTTGTTATTTGCCACAAGTGTTACTGATAATATCAGAAATGGCTGCGTCTCAACCATCCAAAAGCGTTTGACAGAATGCACGAAACAGGAACCCAGGATTAATCGTATTTGCTCTTTGGCTTTTCTTGCTCTGCCGTGTCAAAATGCTTGCGGTAATAAACTCAGATTGTCAGCTACAGAGGGACAAATGAACCCTCCGAAGATGATAAGCGTTGCGTAGCCTTATGGGCCCGTTAGAGGCGGCGGTCCTGGTGGTTGTCCACGTACGATGTTACGAGCAGAGAAGTTGCGTATCGGGTCCTCGGCAGCCAGAGAGATTGAGCTGAGCATTATGAAAACCAGGATGAGGTTGGTGAAGATCTGATGGTTGATCAGTTTATGGCAGAACACACGGAACCTGGAAGCAGAAAGGGAACCAAAGATAAGTCAGAGCAATAGCTGGACTTGTGACACATCTTTGGTTCTACGACACGCACGGGTTAGTGCTGCTGAAGATGAAGAAGGCGCTGCCCAGCGGGATGGGCGGAGTCTTCTCTTTGATGCTGAGTTCAGACAGCCGTAGATGATGCAGCCCTGACGGGGCCTCCGGGACAACGCCGCCGTTGTCGTCGTCGCCATCACAAGCTGCAAAGAGTTTTATAATCGCTCAAAATCGGAAATCAGTGTTTCCCCATCCATTGAACAAAGGGGGAATGTTATTGTTTCTGTATGTGTGGGGTGGAAGTGAGATCTCCCTCAGAATGAATATCAGAGCTTTATTTCCTATTATAGCACCGTTCTGATATCTAATATCCAGCTGACTGTTGCCGGTGAAACGACACTCCAGACTTCCACCTCTGATTGTTGTCATTCCCCAAACCTCCAGTCAATCGCAACACAATGGAATTGTAGGAAGTGGGGGTTTAATGGCGGAGCCCCGTAACTCCAGCCAGGTGTCACTTTTACCTGGAGAGTCAATGGCCGGATAGGACTCCTTGTCTTCCTCCAGCAGAACCTCTGCTGTCACCTACGCACAGGGATCAGGTTTAGCTCCATGAAACAGACAGTAACTGAGGTGGAAGACGATCAAAACTATTTACAGGATTTGCGCAGAGAACTAGTTTATTTTACCTTGGTCTCTCCGTCCTTGACGTCTATTATTTCAACTCTCTTCGTGTCAGTGCTGGTGTCCCTGTAGGGGACGGATCAAACAGGGAGTCACTAGCGAAGCAGGAGGCCTTTTCATCAGCCAATAGAAACAGTTTTAAAACATGAAAAACTGTCCACACACACTGAAATTAAAATGATGAAATGATAAATGATTTAAGTTTACTTGACACTATTCTTCCTCTTCTTGGCCTCCTCTTCCTCCTTCTGGGCCGTGTTGAGGCTCTCGGCGTCGGCCAGGTTGTCAACGGCGATGGCCAAGAAGACGTTTAGCAGGATGTCTGGTCATGTGACTTAAGGAGAGAACGCCGTGCGACACGAAAGATGCCGCCGGGCCTCACGGAGACGAAGACAAAAAGACGTTCTTACCCACGCGGGAGTGCGTTTGTGGCCAGAAGGATACAGTTTCCACAGATGAAAAGGATGATGAAGTAAATGCAGACCACCATCCCGGAGGAGGCCGGGCCGCCGTACGCCATGATACCGTCGTACATCACGGTGTTCCAGTCCTCTCCTGTCAAGATCTGGCAGGCACGACACACAATAATGTGAAACACCAACACGCACCTCAGACATTCTCACAGTTCCTGCCAATCGTATCGGAACGAACTGAAGGCCAAACGCGCACCTGGAACACGGTGAGCAGCGCCTGGGGGAAGTTGTCAAACGTGCTCCTTTTCGTCACAGTCTCGTCAAAGTTGAACTTGCCCCCAAAAAGCTGCATGCCGAGCAAGGAGAAAATAATGATGAAGAGGAAGAGCAGCAGCAACAGGGAGGCGATGGACTTCATGGAGTTGAGCAGAGAGGCCACCAGGTTGCTGAGAGACGCCCAGTGACTGGAGGAGAGGGAATATAAAGCAGGTTAACAGACGGATGGCCACGGAGTACAGTGTTGACTCGTCATTTTAGTTCGGGAACTTTTGCTCACCGCGTAACCTTGAAGATCCTGAGGAGCCGAACGCATCGGAAAACCGAGATGCCCAGCGGGGACATGATGGCCACCTCCACCAGGATGGTCTCCACGATGCCTCCGCACACCACGAAACAGTCAAAGCGGTTAAACAGCGACACAAAGTAGGCCTGCAGCCCCAAACTGTACATCTTCACTAGCATCTCCAAGGTGAACATCGCCAGGAGAACTTTGTTGGCCACGTCTGGAGAGAAGAGGACTTACTTGAACAACAAATCATCAAACACGTCATAGTTGAACAATGTCAAGAAAACTGGTGGAATGCATCGAATGGAAAAAGAATACAGCAACAAAAGATACCCTGTACTGTGGTCAGCCAGTCCGGCTGGTTGTAGTGCTCAGAAGCAATGGTGAGCGTGTTGAGGAACACCAAGATGATGACCAGCCAATAAAACGTCACGGACTTCACGGCCGCTCGACACTTTCTGCGGCAGAAACGGTTCCACCGTCGCCACTGACGACTGAGAGACAAACAGTTTAGGATGTGTACGCCCATATTTAGGAGATTTCCATTCAAAATACAACTTAAATACAACAAACAATACAAACTCATTTTGGAATTGACTGACATTTGAAGTCATGTGTATGTATTTAGTGGTTTTTTGTTACAGTCTCTACAACACAATAAACAACAGTAAGATACAAATAATAAAGAGGAATTGATGGATGTTTGGTTAGTAAACAGGGGAATTAACACAATGATGAAAGTGCAGTGACATCAGGATAAAGACTGATGGGTCGGATATAAAACGTGACAAACATTAGTTCAAAACATGAGGATCTGAGCAATTCAAATACGAGGTGAAAAGGACTCATGCAAGATGAGCTGAATCAAGTAAAAGAAAGAGGAATGCATCGACCACGCGGCGTCAGACTACCACGGTACTAACCTGCACTTTGACTTAGTAATTTTTTGACTGCGGAGGATAAAAGATGAGGCAACTTTAAAAAAAGAACGTCAGCAACAGGTGAAATTGTGCACTCTGTGTTTCACGTTGTTTTTATGTACAATAACCATTGTGTCTATCGACCATCTTTTGTTAACCTTATTAATTAGATCATCATAGCAACAGCACTGCTTGTCCCACTCACCATAGCGGCCCACAGCAGGGGGACTTGTTTTCCTCTCCGTTGTGATTCTCTGTGTTTGCAGACTCTGTCTCGCTGGGCATACTCGCTGTGGCGTCACACACACACACACACACACACACACACACACACACACACCCACACACACACACACACACACACACATTGGTATGGGTAAGGTGACACAAAAAGGTGCCAAGTTTAAAAAAGAGGATTAGGAAATTGTACCCTGCAGGAAACAGGTTGCCCCAATGAATTTTAAATGATACTAGATTTCCATATTGACACGCATGCCTTTTTGGTTTGGCTTGGTTCTATTAAAAAAAAAATAGATATTAGATATCAGATATTACACTGAAACTAAAATAAGACTTAACTGAAAAAAGCAATTTACCACACAACTTTTCCTATCATGTTTTACAAAGCTCATAGTTGCTCGTAGTTGAAGCCAATAGTTGAAACAAAAATGCAGGAGTAAATAGAAAAGGTTTAGGAAGAGGTTTTGAATTAAAGAAAGCGGGGTTTTCTAAATTACAGAATATTATTGTTATCGAAGAAAGAGTCATGAATTGTAAGGTTTCTGCATCAATGCCAACAGACCTAAATCAAATTAGACTTTGTAAATCATTTTTGTAATTTTCTTAAGTGCATCAGCATGTAAACATTCGGACTCATATTAAAGAGTTATGCGGTTGGATTTTAAATGTTTTCAGTACTGCCTGCATTGTCCAGTTGACATATTTGATCGTCCTATTTGGTTCAGGTCTGTATGTTGCAACAAGTATCAGTGACATAGTTACAGGCTCCTGCATATTGGAAATATTATATAATATACAGGCATAAAACATTTTCTTTATGAATGACAAATGAAAGGAAAATGATTGTGATTGGAAGAGAGATCTGTACACAAATACTTCAACTATTAATTTTACTTCCACCTGAAAATATAATTTAGAAAGAGAAGTAGAACATAAATACAATCTCAGAATCAGCTTTATGTTTATGCATACATTGAATTTAATTGCACTATATACTTTTATATTTCTTATATTTAATAATATGTTATTGTTGTTAAATTTTTCCTTGCTTGTTTTTATTCTTATTTATATTATTTTCTTGATTTTTATACATTGTATGTAGTGTGTATGTACATTGTGAGCACATGTAACCGGAGTCAATGTGCATCCACATACACGGCTACTGAAGCTGATTCTGATTATGAGGATGCAATATTAAAACGGATATTAAAATAAAATGTTGCAGGAAAAAGGTTAAAGAAGATTAGGAAGTGTTTGCAAACAGTCATAGTTTTGAGATGTACCTACATCTTATTTTTCTATCGTTTAACACTTGAAAGTGAAAATAACAAGCATCACACAAGTTCATATCATTTTCAAAATGAACGTCAATCTCTGTTGTAACATTCGTTCCTTAAAATAAAAGTACATTTCCTGTGCCATCATTTGGTATTCGGTACACATCCCCCCCCCTTCCCATTGTGACATGGAGGCTGGAGCACATTTTCCTCCATCAGCTTCTCAACTGTTACAACACACAAGTGTTGCTTAATTTCACCAGAGAGGCGTTGCGTGCTGCTGGAGGACAATGTGTTCAAAGGAGGTACTGACAATGAGGTGCACGGGGCTCCATGAAGATGCGGATTAAACGGGGAATAATGCGAGACGGGGCGTGCAAACACACAAGCAGAAGCAAAGCGCATGCAAGCAGAGGCGCCCTGCACGACAGAGATGAAATGTCTCTTGTGAACACGTGCAAAGAGGCGCACACTCCCAGACACAAACGCATTTACCCTGTGTCTCTGTGGACTGTGTGAACCAGCCAAACTTCCCTTTCTTCTTCTCAGTGAGGTCAGCCAGAGTGACCCCTGGGAGAGACCAACATGCAGTTCACACAGCCAGACAGCAGAGGAAGCAGTGAGTCAGTACGCAGCGGGACAAGAGAGACAGCTGCAACACAAACTACAGCACAGACGCAGCTCGCAAAGACACTCGTTAACTAAGAGACAATGCTAGTGTGCAGTGGAGGATAGTTCAGTGAGGCTCATATGTATTAGCTTAATGCGGATAAAGCGTTAATAACAAGAAAGTGTGATTTCAGAAATGCCATTTAAATGTTTGGGGTACTTTGGGACATTGTCCACGTGGGATTGTTTACTGTAAAATGTCCCACTCAATACATATATCATATGCTCACAATTCTTGAATAACGAATATACATCAGCCTTGAAATCCCCTTAATTCGGCATCATCTTAAGGCTAATGAATACAATATTAGACTGCAGAGGATTAGTATAAAAAACGCCTTCAGAAACAAACAGAGGATAGAAAGCAGAGAAGAGAACAACAACAACTTGCAACATGATAAAGACACAATAGGAAGCAAAGGGAGAAAGAGGGGAAAAAACTACTGTTAGCAGCATCCTACAGATTCTACAGAAGTCACTGCGGGAGTCAAGGAGAGAACGTTAGTGCGTCGCCTTTGGTGTCTGCAACAAAAGCGGCAGAGGTAGAAGCAGGGCAATTACTGGAGGACGCACAAACCGACAGGTACATGTGCACTGACCACACTGTGGAAGCTTTAAAGGCAGCACGGGGGAAAATGTAACCACACCAATTACCCACAATGCAACTCTTGCGCCAACAACTGGGTTGTGCCAAGCATCAAAACCTACAGCGTATATTTGTGACCCTTTATTGACCTGGAATATAAAGTATCAGCAGACATTTGCCTCAATAGGTATGAAACTGAAACGCCTGAAGGAAAAACATGAACGTAACCATGAGGTCAATGACGGTGGAGGTAGAGATTTTGGTGAGAGTCATTCTAGCAGCCGCAAACCTACACAGACTTAAGAGAAAAAAAGGCCACGCAATGCTAGAAAACGTTCTCCTGAGCGTCGTGACCGCCTCGTTAATATTGATGTCACAACACATCAAGCATTGGGAGAATTGATCCAGAGCAGCTATGCCAATGACCCACTTTTCTTCTTCATTCCATCTCTTATGTAAGTGATGGGTGGCAGAGAGAACTGCATAGCTGCACCGGTCTGCGCTCCGCTCCGTGTCCCCCTCATTCTCTTTATTGTTTTGTTTTACGGTGTGTTTGGAGAGCAGCTGACAGGACAGGCGCTGCTCTCGCTGTCCGCCTCTCAGCTGCTGCCGCGCGCACAGACAGCTCGCTCGAGTGTCACATTGGGCTTTTTTGGCAAGATCGCGTGACGTGCCTCACACGATGACTTCGTGACCATTTCCTGCATATCGCCCACCGCTGTTGTTCCAACGAGGTGTGTTTACGGATCCCCTAGATTTATTTGGGGTCGTGTTCATTCAATCAAACAATACAGCAGTGGTTGTCTGAGGCACCTGACTGAGGTCTGCACTGAGTGGCCCTTCACATTGTTAATGGAAATGTAGTTTAACAATTTCTGGATTGCTTTGAAGAGTACGATACATGGCCTTATGTAGGGAGAAAGCATTCAATGACTAAAGCTGCACTATAAAGAGAGAACTTGAAGACAGGTTTTTCATAAGTGCATTTTTTAAGAATCTGTTATGAAACTTCACGCAACCACCCACAGCTTATTTCATCGGTTACACAATCAATTCATTACTGAATAAATATTCACTTCAAACCGTAAACACAACTGACTCGTCTGCAGCAGCCACTTTCAATTTACTGTACCAGTCCTAGGATGAATTGCAAATGTGCGCCTGGATGGATTATAGTTATTTCAATTCTGTACACTGTGTTTTCTCACCGGAAAACCACACAAGGAGCCAATATTCCATTCACACAACAAGCCTCCTCCAGATCAGAATAAGCAATATTTATCTGTCATACGTACAAACACACACACACACACACACACACACACACGCACACAACTGAACTTCCACAGCCACTTCTGCGTTGTCATGGCAACGGCGCACACAAGGCCACACCGTAGATTGGACCAGAATCACGGCACTGCTGTCGCCCACTTTCTTTATGCTCCCTCGGAAGTCGCCACCATGGCTGAGAATCCAGTAGCACTAACGCATGAAAATAACCTTGCACATATGGTAGGTAGAGTAGTATTTATGACCTAGTGAATGAAAGTAATTATGAAGGTATTGTAAAATAGCAAAACAGCTCACAGTACAGTATTATGTTCATTTTGCCAGGTAATTAGATTAGATGAGATTTTTAGGGGGTAAATTTGTTGTTTTGTTTAATAACTGTTTTATGGTTTGTTTCCTTATCGTAGAAATGGTCTTTTGAACCAGACTGCCCCACCAGGAGAAAGATACTGTGTGTGATATCTGTAGTATCTGTGTGTAGTATACAATCTGCAACACGCAATACTGTCTCTTTGTACTAGACATAAGATTCTATTGTGGCTGTTTGTCGAAATCCGTCAGCATTTCAGTGTCATTTCACATACTTGAAAGCGTCGGTCGGCACACACTGTAATTGTGGAGGAAAGTCATGTGTTATTAGGGGAGCCGGAGCAATTGGTCCTCAATACAGAGAAGGTTTCCTTCATGATACATGAAAGGCAAAGCATCAGTGGTCTTATAGTGAAAACAACAACAGATGGATGAATAATGGTTTTCCCTCCTCACCTCCTCCTTTCACTATCAAAGAGACAAAGGGACATGCGACATTGTTTAAAGGCAGAAGAGTCTGTCTGCATTCTTCATTCATCTGCTTTAGAAAGGGATAGAAGGACACAATTGATTCAATTCAGGAAACTCACGGTTACGCTTGCCCTCCTCGTCCCCCTCCTCCTCGTTCTCGGGGTCGATGTCCTCCGCCTGGGTGATCCAGTCCAGGTAGCCTTTCAGGTCCTCCTCCAACTGCTGCTTCTCCCGTAGCTTCTGGAAGTCTCCCCGGGCCTTGGCCTTCTCTCGCTCTTTGGAAAACTCTCTGGACGGGGCAGAGCAGACGGCGTCCAAGTCTTAAAAGCCATTGGTTACAGAAAAGAAAAGACAAGAAAAAAGAAAAAGAGACACAACCCCCCCCCCCTTAAAACCTACCCGCTCAACACACCCAAAACCAGGTTGAGAACAAAGAAGGATCCAAAGATGACCAGACTGACAAAGTAGACCCAGGGCAGCTCAAAGCCCATTGCATCGTTCATCTGAGGAGAGACACAGGGAGCAGAAATATTACACGTGGTTTATTCATGCTTTGCTTCATAATTGTACATGTGTCCTGTTCTTTTTCATTTTTAATTCAATTCTAAAATTGCCTGCAATTCTCTGCTGTTTTCCATATAACTTTATAGTAGTGAACTGTTCTACTTGGCTCTAGTAAAACCAAAGACGATCCCAAACAAACAACACGATCTCACCCATCTACTGGACCTCTACAAGAACCAGTGGTTCTTTTCAGATTCTACTGAATGTTTTGACAGCTGCTATAAAGTGACTCATTCACCTCAACTAACCTGCACCTTTACAAACCACACGCATTGCAGATTGTATGTATGGCCCCTGATTGCTCCAGGTATTTATTGTTTACCTCCAGGCAAAATAATATTTTTGAATTAAATAATCATATCTACTGCAACTAACGCATTTGTTTATTTTTTTTGTAGTGCATCTCGGGCAGCCCTAGGGAGCCCAGGATCTTCAATGACTCCAGTAATTTAAATAAAAGCAAAAATGTGGGCAGTTCAAAGTTCATAATGTCCTTCAGATGGACAGAGATCTACAAGAAACAACAACCAACAGTGGAGCAGGACGTGTGACCACTAGAGGGCCCAACGCCAGAGACGCCCGGGTTAGAAATGAGTGGAGGAAGTATTAGAGGATGACGTGTCTTTTACTAATGAGGATGTGGTTATCAACCTCACTGCAGAGCTTAAGTGCACTTTTATCAAGCTGTTTGGAGAGAAAAACTTGATGGTTGACGTGGGTCCATTTATAACCACACGACAGGCTTTTTACACGGGTCCAAATAATCTCCACACGCTTGACACTTTTCTTTTCCCCACACGTGCATGCAATTCTACTTAATACTCCTGCTACTCCTGAAAAACACACCAGCTTGCATGGAAGAGATAACTTGATGATTTGTCTCTGCCAGCTACGGCACAACATATCTGGAAATGATTTCTGCTGAAAAGGTCAGAGGTCTGTCAACCGAGCTATCGTTCTGTACGGCCCGTCTCCTTTTTGTCAGCACTTTAACAGCAGTATTAGCATGTGATTGCCATGGCAACACATACAGAAGTAAAGAGTGTGTGAGGGAGAGAAAGCGGAGGACACACAAAGGTTCATTACTCCATAGATGAGGGTCTCTATCAATAAAATGATGTGGGTGGATACTGAATAAACCTCATTCTGAGCTGGGCCTCAATGCCGAGTGTTTCGGCTAATTAAAAGCTGTTCATTCTTGCTGACGGGAAACTGGAATTTTGATGGGGATTTTAAAATGCGCCTGCTATTTTTTATTAAACTGAAAGAATAATGAAGGTTTAGGCTCAGACTGCTGCTTTCAATGAGGATTGATTTGTAAAAAAAAAAAAAGATTGTGAGATTATTTTATATTATTTGGGCTTCATCAGATTACCCAGTAGAGAACGTCAGTCCAGCCCTCCATGGTGATGCACTGGAACACAGTGAGCATGGCAAACAGAAAATTGTCAAAGTTGGTTATGCCGTTGTTGGGTCCTTGCCATCCCTCTCTGCAAGATGTACCATTGAGCAGGCAAAGGCGGCCGTGCCCTGAAACCGCACACGGCGTGGCCTCTTCTTCTGCGAGGGCGCCTGAGGGGCACAGAGTCAAACAGATGAACCGACAAATCCAAAGCAGCAAAACAAGAAAACAAAGACGTTTGTTTAAAAAGAATTATAAAAAGAAAATAGAACTGGTCTTGGTTCTACTATTCAATCATATCCTTATACTGGTTATCCTCCACATTGTCTTATCCTCCTGCTACTATTGCATCATTTCGAACAAAATGTGGGCTTTGCTTTTCTTCTGCTCAGTGTATCTTGTGTCCTCTGAGGGCAGATTTCTTGGATTTTTTCTGGAAAAGTCTTCTGAAATAAATGATGACAGTCAGAATTTGAATAATTCCTCTATAAGAAGAGAATAAAACCCAGTTATTTCATCTTATTACAATGAGCAGTTCATACGTCCCTTAAAAACGTTCTGTAGGTTACTTTTATTACTAAATGTTGTGTCCTCATGCAATCATTATAAGGCCATTACAGACACACATACAGAGTTAATGCGCTCACAGAATCACAACTACCTCTCCTTTTACACACACACCTACTGTTGTTTTGTAGTGGACACAAAGTCGCCCTCCATTCAGACGTATGAAAACTACGTCAGCACTAAGTGGCTTCCTCACAGCAAAGACAGCAGACACGAGCGAGGGCGGATTAAAGGGAGCTTTCAACTCGCTCGGTCAGGGACACTCAACTTCATTTTACGATACCACTCCTTTCATCCACGAGAAACGCGTCAAAACAGAAAGAGGTGAATCAATAAACGTGTCCTTCCTAATAATAATAAGAAGAAGAAGAATCCTGCCATGTGGAAGCTTGGGTACAATTATTTTTGATGGACAATCTGGATCTGCTTGTACTGAATATTTTTTGTGTAATTAATTCTGCCAAATAAAAACCACACTGCCTAATGAAAAGAATTTGACTGATATCACTCATATTATTTTCACATTTTCATTAGATATTGCGATGCTGCTGTTCTTTTGGTCACGACAACCCTGTCGCGAAAAATCTGATATTGTGAAAGCCTTAGTTTGGAGCAATGCTGGAGCAAAGGTCAAGCCTGTTTACCTCATAGTCCAGTATCAGTCATCTAATCACTGGACTAATCCACCCATCTGTTGTTCTGTTTTCACCGGCTCGCCACCATTCACATACAAGGAACATGTGTTCATTCATTCACAGGGATTAAAGCCTGTATCAATGAGACGTATACTCCCGTTCCTACTCTAGGTTGGATGAAGGACTCCATTAAAAAAACGGTTTTAGAGGATACAAATAAATGAAAAAATGAAATTCATAAAGGTCTCATGGCTGAAAAATCCAACACAACAAAATGATACCAGAAGTAAATTAAATAAAAAATGTAAAATAATACTGCAGGGCACTACCATACCTGTTTGCATCATACAGGTTGCATGCATTTTGCCAATGAAGAGCTCCAGGCCGATGATGGCGTAGATGATAATGACAAAGAGGACCAGCAGAGCAATGTGAAGCAGGGGAACCATTGCTTTAATAATGGAGTTTAAAACCACCTGTAAACCTGCAAAGGGAACACACGACAGTAACGTAAATGTGCTGCGTACTACCGAAATCTGAGGTCCAAATGAGAGAACCAGCAACAACAAAATTTGTTCCTGATTTTAATTAACAGACCTTGAATACGTGTTTGTGTCGTGACATCTAGCCAGTCACTCTCCCTCCTAACTACAGAAATTGGCGGCAATTTAATGCGATAATCTTTCGTAATTATTTTCTGTCAAGTCATTTGATCAAATGTTATGCAGAGAAAAGCAAACACGCAAAAGCTATTAGTTATTGTAAAAGCACGGCCTTATCTGTATTTCTCAGTCTCTATTATCATCCAATGGACGAAAAACAAACTGGCCTGTGTGGCACCAGGAAACAAGCCAAAATATCAGCTTAATTAAACTGCACAGCATCCTACAGAGACAAACAGTGAACCAGATTAGAACTGGAAATGTCTTCCACGGGTCCATCTCCCCCAAAGTCCTTCCCTCCCAGAGACGAGTGGACAAAAGCAAAGCATTAGTGTATTAACGCTGTTTGTCAGGCAAGCTCAAGACTTTGGCCACAGCAATGAAGGTCGTTTTTAGAAGAAGGCAGTGTTCACTCTCTCTCCACCCGACCAATACCAATAAATGGGAAGAAATCAAAATGAACTTAACTTATTGTATCTTAGAACAAAATGTTTTAATATTGTGTTCCCTAAAAGCAGCTAAATAGAATTGGTAATTGTGTTGTGTACCATAATCTTTATATTGCTCTCATGTGTCAAAATGTCAAGTTGCCCCATGTTTTGCACAATTATTTTTGCATTTATTTTCAGTTTATTTAAGTAATTTTCATAAAGACTCAATCATAAAAGAGGAGTAGCAAAGGTTTATTCAGTAGAATAAACAACTGAAGGAATCATTTAACACAGAGCAAAATAAAATGATGGAATGGCAAACAAGATTTGGGACAGCGTGCAGGTTTAGAAATCATCACGGGTAATTGCAATGACTACTTTTAGTTCAAACAAATATTCCATAATATAACTTATTATTATTATAATGGATATGGAACACAGCGGGGTCCTACGCCCACTCATGGGTGGTGGGTCTGCAACCAAAATGTCTCTATCTAAATATTTTGTATCTGAACTGATGATATCATCGTCTCAGAGAAAGGCTTTAGAAATGACAACATCTTCTGTGGTCACAGCAACACGAACAGTTCAGTTTTAATGTAGGCTAAATGACGTGGGAAAGATTAAGTGGAGGGTCATTCAGACCTTTAGAGACATGGACTCAGCTTAAAAGCCCCAGGACACAAATAGTGGACGCACTTTGCTCGGTTCACAGGTTTCCTTCTGTTGACTGACTTCCGACCTGTGTGGACACACTTGATTGACAGATATCTACATTTATTGTTTGCTGTTTAAACAACATTATTGTTTTATTTGGAGCCAACCCAGAATATGCCGATCTGGGCCCATTTCAGACGTCTCGTATTCACAAATAATAAATGACTCAAGTCCTAACTTAAAACTATCTGAGGTAAAAAGCAGCTCCGTGTTAACTCACTAGGAACTCCAGAGACGAGGCGAAGCGGTCGCAGCACGCGAAAAGCTCGAAGGGCCTTGACGTCAAACCCCCCAGGTTTGCCTCCAGACTGTCCGCCAGAGTCAGCGTCTTTGGTTATCATCTCCAGAACTACACTGAACAAACTGATGGGCGGGAGAGAGGAGTGTTAAGGGTTAAGGTTCAGGGAAAGGGAGGCGAGGTAGAAGAGAGCAGGGACAGAGCTCAGACAACAAAAATCAATCAGAAACCTCTTTGCGCTGATCTCGGTGTGTGTGTTTGTGCTTTACGTGTGAGTCCTTTATGTCCGCCCATATTTACCTTTAGTTTTTCTCAACCCAGAAGAAGTAACCAGTGTCTATGTGATGAGGCTTTTGGCTGCGTGTCTCCGTACGTACATATAATTCTTGCGCTACGATGTACTCACCCTACTATGACGATGACAAAGTCCAGCATGTTCCAGCCGTTTCTCACGTAGGAGTTTTGGTGCATGACCAGACCGTAAGCAATGATCTTCAGAAATGTCTCTATAGTGAAAATGATCAGAAAGGCATATTCCACTGTTTCCTGTGTGGAAAGGGGGAGAAAGAACAAGAATAGAAGAAGACTCTTTAATTGTGTAACTTTACCAGAGAAATTCGCACTGAACCAAATAATGTGCATGAGGGGACGCCAGAAAAGGAGACAACGAGACAAGAACCTATAAGACAACAACAAAGACAACAGTTTCCTGGTTATCACAACAGTTGGCATGGCAACCGTTTTCTTTTTTTGTTAAAGCAGATAGAAAAGTATCATTGACCCGACTGATCAGATCCACGGCCTCCTGCTTGCTTGCGTAAAATTACGGCTTCAATGAGGATCCTGTTACACACGTTAACATTCTGTTGTTACATACGCTAACATACAGAGCAGCCTTCAACTTTAAGATGGGACATGCGTCGTGAGTCATAGTTTTTAGCTGACGCTGAAAGGAAACAAGATGTGACAGTTTCATTTTAAAATGTTCTTTTCAGGGTGAAACCGTGACATTCAAAGGGGAAAAAAACCTTTAAAACCTCAATCGAGGACTTTGTTTTGTAGGCAAAGATAACACTCAAATGAAAAACTCAAGGTTTTCATCCAGCAGCAGCATGGAACATATCAAACACTGAGAGATGTGGGTGGAGAAGACCTGCGTGACGTAGTAACGCTCAGAAACACAGCACAGCAAGTGATGCAATTTACATTAGTGGTTTGGAATAAAAGGAAGAACTAAAGTACTCAACATGACCAGTGATGGACATCAGATAAACAGAAAAACAAAAGATGTCACAGTATCACCACCACTGCTTGATTCACATCATAGAGGCACAGGAACAGAAAGCAGTGACCACTTCAGCATTGAAAAATCAGCAAAAAATATATTTCAGTGCAGAAAAAGAAATTCTAATTCTTCAATCCTATTGTACTACATCCTGCTGCATCATCAGCATGTTTCCATGGCAACACTGTCGGGTGACCGAAACAGGTCCCTGAATTTGAACATATCCAGATACGTCTATTTATTGAGCCTGTACATTATTTACATTCTTTGAAACACATTTTACTCTCCTACATGTCTCTCTGTCACCCAGTGTCTCCCCCCAAACTCTCTCCCTTTCTATCCATCTACGTCTTATTCTGTCTCCCTCAAAGCAAACGGTTAGTCTGAAGATTTAAGGACCATTAAGCAAAGCACCTCTTCTGTTGATGGTTAAAGGACACAAAGGCTCACACAGACACATTCATGTCCACTGAAAGACCCAAAGAAGTACACACACTTCCTAAAGCCCTCCCCCAACTCCCTGCTCTGCAAAACAATTATCAGTAATAATAACTAAATAATCCTACTGCTTAATAAATGAACAAATGTGTGCAACATCACGGTTGCATTTCTTTCATCCTGCAGAAAAGGCCCAGATTCTTCAGATCGACTTCTCAGCTGCAATGTGGATATTTATTTTTCTGGCCTTGCGTGTGTGTTTGGCTGCTAGTCGTTCTCCGCTGTGTCTTTACAATAGCCGGGCGATTGTTCAGGTCAACAGACACCATGACTCGTTTAAAACTGATAAAGAGCCTCCAAAGCACACACAAACAGACACACACACACACCTGCCTCCATCCGACATTCTTGCTCGATGCTACCGTTGTTTACTCGGGTCTGAAACGTGCGCTCCTCGGCTTAGTGAGCGGCTGATGAAGAGTATGTGCGTACGTGTGAATCTGCTCAGCCATCATACTAACAGCTTTCCAGTGAAAGGGCTGGATTATGGCTTTACTATGAAGTAATTACTTTGGTTAGCTCTGCCTGCACTGTTAATTGTTTTAACTGAGTGAGCACACTATAATTTAAAATTGAACATAACAAAACACAAATGAATACACTGCTGTAGAGAAAACGGCTCATCAATTCTAAACAGCACCATAGTGCACAATCTTTTTTAGAATAATCAAATTCAGCAAACTAAGAAACCCATCGAAAAAATAAATGGTCTTGGCGCTCTGCCCTATTACCTTTAATACACATGCCATGATGTTGCATAATAAACGTCAAATCCCTTTCATTTCTCACATAGTTTCCCGGGTAGTAAGTGAGTGTGAGAGCGGCACGCGGCGCCGGCTGTCAGAGTTATGGCGGGAGGGTGGGGTGGGGGGGGCGTGCTGACCAGGAGGAGTAAAGAGAGAGAGAGGGGCACCTGAAGCCTTGTCAACCCGTGTCTCTACAGGCGACCCTTCGTTCTGATAGAACTGGGATGGAGGCAACGAAACGCAAGGCCCGTGCTGATGTCCTGAACCACTATTATTATTGGATTTAGTTTCACCTAAACTGCTTCCCGAAAGGATAAATTCAAACGACCTGTTTCTTCAGTGCACAGTGCATCGCAGTAGTCTCCTTCTGTGCTTGTAATACAGAGATAACGTTGCCATGGAAATCAGGCTTTTTTCACGTGTGGGCAGAGGATGAGACTTGAAGCTGGAATACTTAAGACAACGGCCTCTTGTACAGCACACATTGTCCAGTAAACGGGAGTTTATTTTTACATTTTCCAATCCATGAATGCCAACAGGTGCCAAAACGTAAGCTGGAAACATAAACGTGAGTGACCAAAGATTATTTAAGAAGGGTTAAGAAGGTTCATTTTCTTTGTCTGAATATAAAAAAATACATTAGTACATTTAGGATCTGAATAACTAATTAGTGTGCGTGTTGGGGGTCTTTTATAAAAAACGACATTACCCTCAACAGTCAAAACCACATAAAAGGAGCAAACATGTGTTTGATTGCTTTTACCTTGGATGTCCAGCACTCGTCCTCACAGTCATTGCATAATGTTATTCTAATTAAAGCTCCATTCAGGATCAACCCACAAAGCCCAAATTTGGATTTACTGGCTTGTGATGTTTTTCTACAGTCTTTAATGCCCACTGGCTACGTTTGTCATGAAAGCAGGAGGACTGAGTGCATTTGCTCTTCTTACCCTATAACTTTACCTTCCCCGGCTTTGAGATGTCCACTGACCACGGGACAACACAGGCCCAGGCACACATAACGAAGAAGCTTAAGTGATTTAAGAGCGAGCAGTGCTTCCTGTAATCTCACAAATCTCCTCTTTTGGGAGCTGGACAAGAAATGTGTGTTGCTGAAGCCAAGAGAGCTCACAGTCTCTGCCCTGGAGACAGACAAAATGTCCAGATGATGTTTTGGGGGCTGTGGAGCATGTTTTTAGTCAGGAGGATTTAAAGTCTGTAAAAAATGTTACAAAAAAACAAAAAAACATCCTCTCAATCCCCATGAATCCACCGATCGGCCGCTCAGCTTGAACCACAATCACCATTTCTGAGATTGAGCCGTACAGCAGACAATTGGTTTGAACTCTGCTGCACTCACACATCCACATGAACATGAGCGTGGCTCCAGAAGCTCCTCCGTCACTGTCAGAAGGCGATCACGGATTGATTGGTACGTGACTGGTGACAAGGGTCTGTTTCCAAACGAAATTCTTGTAGTGAAAACAGAAAGCAGTAAAATTGAGTTTGCACATAATATTTTATTTGTGATGGAGATCACGGATGATCTGAAGTGATCGGAGGTGAACTCAAAAATAAATATGAAATAAATATGGATCATAGGAAGCTTGTTTTGTATATTTGTTGATACTTGACGGTACATCAGTCTGTAAATGTATAAAACTGTGTTCTCCAATAAGACGAGCTGATAGCAGCCATGGTGAGTTATTCTGCCTCATTATGCTGTGTGAATCTTTGCAGTTATACCAACAACTTCATTTGTTGCGACATCCCACATGAGCATCTAATTAATTATCTGAATGTGATTGCATCTGTCTAACTCTGGATTCGCTTCTCTAATCTGGGCTGTCACCGTACAGTGTTTGGCGTCAGCAATGTAGTACTCTAGATATGTTTTGGGCCTTTGGCTCTTGTCGTCATAATTACATAGACTTCATACAGACTTGTTTTGCTATTGACTGCAAGTGGTAAGGTTTATTTAAGCAGTTTTGATACTCAATATTGGTCTAGTGGTCAATGATTGGTTTTCAAAAAGATCTACATCTACATTATATTTATATATGCCACGGTGGATTTTGATCAATTTTAAAATGAAACCTTGATAAAACGTAGTTAGTGCTTCAAAAAGAAGAAGAATGAAGACAACTTACACATTAAAGGTAAAATTCCAATCGTATAAATAAAACAACCTGACCTTCATAAGATTGTAAATTGCCTTGTCACTGTGTATATTCTCCCAATAAAAGGACTAACAAAACCTAAATCCATTGAAAAAAACATGCAAATGCACGCAGAACTAATTGAAGATACAGGGAAGTGACATTTCACGGAGGAACTGAAGCTCAGGCTGTTAAATGCTCCTCCAGTATCCAAAGAACATTAAAATGATTTAAAGGATCGACCTGTAAACCTCACACTTAAAAAATGTTTTAATTTAGGATTAAAATGGTGTATGTTTCAACAACTGTCTGTCTGTTATTGTGTGGATTTATTGCACACTTTCAGTGCAAATCGTTTTTAATGGATTTTGTTGTACTGAACTTCCAGACTACTGGCACTCAAGTTAATTTCACCTCAACAAAAGTATTATAATCATCGTCAATTTGTCTGGATGAGCAGTGCATCTTATTCTGAGAACAGCAATCATCGAGACATTATGATTTGGGAGAGAGAGTCACAGAAAGTGGGTACGGGGGGGGGGGGGACATTATTTAAAAAGTGACGTTCTGCAGAAGGCCACTGTGCTGACATCTTTTTTTTTGTCAGATCGTTGCATGCAAACCTTTTCACCACTGCCTCAATGTGACTGTATTCCCCCTCTGCGCGCGTGTGTGCGCGCGCGTGTGCGTGTGTATATGTGCTTAAATTGATCAGAGCCAGGAGCTTCTCTCACACACACACACACACACACACACACACACACACACAGCAGATGCGGGATCACACAATGTCACTACCCACATTGATGATAACACCAGCTGACATAACACTCGATGCCATGTGGCCTCAGCGTGTGC